AACGGAAATAATTTCATGGTCAGGGGTCACCACAACATGAGGTATTAAAGGGTTGCAGCATTAGGAAGGCTCAAAACCACTGTTCTACAGGGTGAAGGCTGTATCTTACTTGATCTGAATACACAACCCAGCATGATAGAAGTTCAAGATTCATTTTACTAATGAATGTGCCAAATAAAGTAACACACATAGTCCCTGGCCAGACCTTACTTCTGTTGATGAAACAAAATGACCTATGTGTATGGATCTGAGTATGTGCATCACAGGCATGTAGTACCTGCGGAGGCCAGAAGAGGGGGGTCAAATCCCTCTGGAACTGGGGTTACAGGTGGTTGTGAGCTGTCTGTTACGGATGCTGGGAACCAAACCCTGGAGAAGAACAGCTCATGACTGTTGAGCCTTCTCTCCAGCCCTAGTCTAAGTTTTTTTTTTTTTTTATTATTGTATTTATTTATTTAATTAGTTTTGTTTTGAGACAGAGTCTCACTGTGTTGATCTGGCTATCCTAGTGCTTACCTTGTAGACTAGGCTGGCCTCAAACTCACATAGATCTGCCTGCTTCTGCTACCCTAGTGCTGGAATATGAAGTGTGTACCACCACTCCATGGGGGTCTCTACAAACACCATGGTCAGCAGAATAATGATCCATGAGAATCTGGTGTGGTCTCCATCATACAGATAGTGTAGTGAGCATCTGGGCTATTAGCCACCTCCAGTCCTGGTTGTGGGAGCTTGGGGGTGCCCCTGGCCACACGATAAACAAAGGTCACCTAATCTATTAGCCACCCCAATGGTCCTGGTTGTGGGATCTTGGTATGGTCTGGTTGTACAGATAGCATAGATCACCAGGCTATTAACTACCTCCATTCCCAAGGTTTTGGATGAAAAACAGGTTATCTTTCCTGTTGAGGAGACAATTTTGCGTGTTTAACCTGTGAGCACAAGGATCTTTATGTTCCCATCTACTTCCAACTAAGACTTTTAAACTGTATACCAGCTGGGTTTTTCTCTTCGTTGCCCTTGTACTCACTATGTTTTCCTGGTGGTTGTGAAGCCAGGCAACTTCCTGCCTTAGTCTCCTTTGTATTGGGATTAAGGTGGCCTCCATATGCATTATGTAGGTATGTTTATATATGTAAACTTGTACATGCCTGTAGAAAAACAGAACCTAAGCTGGGTATGATAGTATGTGCCCGTAGTCTCTGGAATACAAGAGGCTGAGGCGAGAGGACTATCAGCCTGGGCAACACAGTGAAGCGACCACTCCAAAACTAAGTACAGCTTAGTCTCCACTTCATTATAAGGGGCAATAATTTAGAGCTTAAGCTAATTCCCCATCTTCCCAGAAATTTGAAATTCAATAAAGATACCAGGCTGAGTATAACCATCCTGGCGAGAATGAGAACATGTTCCCCCCCAAGACAGTGTTTCTCTGTGTAGACCAAGCTGGCCTCGAACTCACAAGGATCTACCTGCTTTCACCTCCCAAGTGCTGGGATTAAGGTGTGTGCCACCACTGCCTGGCTTGTGAGTAGTAACAAAGCATGACCTGTAGAATAAGGGAAAGGGCTACCACTAGCTTTAAATCGTAAAGAGCAGAGTTGAGTGGGGAGCTTGTAATGGCAGCTGGGTCAATTTGTGACAAGAAAATGATTAATCTTACAAACAACACAATAAACTACATGCTGCAGGCTGTCAAGAGGGCTCAATGGGCAAAGGGACTTGCTTTCAAAACTAAAGATCTCTGGGGCCCACGCGGTGGAAGAGAATTGATTCCTGCAAGTTGTCCTCTGACCCCCACACAAGTGCTGTGACGCTTGCACACCCACAAAATAAATGCAACTTTCAAATTTTTATAAACAAACTACATACATACTTGCAACAAACAGGTTTACAAAGGCCAGAATTAGGTCAGTTTCCTCATCCAGCTCAGCTTGGGGAAGCAACAGAGCGCTGGTCACCATCCTTTCACAGATGTGTGAGCCTCAGACTTTGGCTCTCTGAGGCATGGTCTAGACCTCACTTAGCCAGAGCATTTGCACATCAGATTATGAATAGGGCTGGGGTAGGACGGTTAATGCCATACAAGGCTTGTCAGGCTGGAAGGCCTGGAAATAAACAAGACAGACAGATGTTCCATTCTCAGGGTACTGAGGTGGGGCCTGAGACAGGAGAAGGGGAAGTTCAGACAACAGGATTGGAAGGAAGGGAAAGAGGAAAAGACAGGCCTAGCAGGCCAGCTGTTTTCCAGTCTTCTTCAGAGTGACTAATCCTCCTCCGCTGATAGCTGACAGAAGAGAGCACATTCCTTTAATTGGAGGGAGGAAAAAAGGAAGTTTCAAGAGGTTGAAAGAGACGCCACTGGTCACTTGGGTGTGTTTTCCTTCCTTGGTATAAAAATACTGAAAACTTGAGCCCACTCAAGCTTAGCTTCATTTCCAGCTCACTGAAACTGCTTTTGGTTTCACTCTAGTGAACACTTTACTGACCCCTTTACTCAACCCCCGCCACATTAGCTGTAGATGGACATCCTCCCTTGGTCCCTGGCACCTCCCTGGCATCTCTCCCTCCTCTCTAGCTGTACCTCATGGACGGCTCTTTGCAGGGTGATCCTTAGGCTTTGGACCTTCACTTCCCCTCGAGGGAGTCTCGTTCACTCTCAGCACTGAGCTCCACCTATACTGGCGTTTCTTGGCTCTAACTCCAGTTCACCTTTCCTTCTAGTTGACTCTTGGGTCCAGTTTCCCACACTGTGCGTGAAGAGAAGCTAACACACAGGCCAAGTTTGCTCTTGCCAACCACGTCTGATGCATTCAGCAAGGTGCTCACCTGTCAGAAATGGTTCATTTCTTTTTTCTCATCATCTCGGATGAAACTGCAAACTCCATTTTCTACCTCCCAATGCCTCTGAAATACACAGGAGTCTCCAAATCACCCCCTGCACTCACCACATGCCCAACTGGCTTCCTCAGAATCTGAAACTCTTTCCCTCTCCAGTCTTTGCATTTATTCTCCTGCTCTTGATTAGTTTGTCAGCCTTCAGGTCAGGTCTCAGCATGAGAATGAACTCAACAGGCTGCCCTCTTCCTATCCTGGGTACCTTACCAATGCTTATTATCCCCATCCCCTCAATATTCTAGTGAAAACAAAGCCCCCCACCAGTTCCTTTTCATACCTTGGCAAAATCTATGACTTCACCCATTCCTTGAGGACAGGGACTATGTCATTTTACCACTTTCTTACACTGTTTTTTCTGTCCACTTAAACTTATTTCTTTCTATGTGTATTAGTGTTTCTTGTTTATTTCTATGTGTATTGGTGTTTTGCCTGCATATGTCTGAGGATGCCAGATCTCCTGGGACTGCTGTTACAGACAGTTGTGCACTGCCATGTGGGTGCTAGGAATTGAACCTGGGCACTCTGGTTAAGAGCACTGGCTGTTCTTAATCACTGAGCCATCTCTCCAGTGCCCTGTTGCTCACTTTTTGAGACAAAGTTTCATTCTGTAGCCCAGGAGCCCAGCTTCAACTTACAGAAATCCTGCTTCAGCCTTCAAACTTGCAGGTTTTGGAATATGGTAATGGTAGTCTGGTACTTTGGACACTAAGAATCCAAAAGAGAGAGAGAGAGAGAGAGAGAGAGAGAGAGAGAGAGAGAGAGAGAGAGAGAGAGAGAGAGAGAGAGAAAGAAAGAAATACAAACTGACCTTGGTGAGTTAGGCAAAACTACAATGTCTATTATACAAGATAATCATATCTCCTGATTTTCTGCCCATTTAGTAATTATCTTCCCTTCATTTGTTTAAATGGAGTTTTTAGTTCTTTTGTTTGTTTTTGAGGTAAGAGCTCACGTAGCCCAGGCAGGCCTCAAACTTGTGATGTAGCTAAAGATGACCTAGGACTACTGATGTCTCTGCCTCCAAGTTCTTGGATTACAAGGAAACACCCACCATATCCATCTTAGCTGATTTTCATCATCATTATTGGTCTGAAAGAGTAAACTTTGTTAAATATATAAATGCACTTTCAAGGCTTATCGCTAACCACTGCTTTCAGAACACTTTAACTGAAATGTTCACTATATCACTAAGGATGGAGAAAAACAAGAGCAAAAACCATCTGATGAATACAAACCAACCGTCTTAGTTTTTTGTTTGTTGGTTGATTTGTTTAGTTTGGTTGTTTAAGACAGAATCTCTCTACGCCCCTTGCCCCCCAGTGTTAGAACTAAAGGCATACACCACCATGCCTGGCTTTTTTTTTTGAGAGTATTTTAGATAGCCCTGGCTAACCTTGAACTTGCTATATAGCCCAGGCTCGCCTTGAACACCTGATCCTTCTGCCTCAAAGTACTAAGAAATCAAGTTTCTAAAAACACATGAGAAACTTTGGAATCTGAATTACATAAATGAAACTATCCATTACTCAACAAAAGCAATGACACCAAAAACTAATACTGAAAAGTTTTTGTTTTTATTTCCAAGATCAAATATTACAACAGGACATTTACATGTATTTATAAAAAAAATGCAGCAGTTAAATTTATAGATAAGAGGTTTCCTTGAGTTTGGTCCCTCTCTCAGCACAGTGAGCTGATGTCTTCAAAAGACTTCTTCATTCCATTCCCCTCCCTCCCCCATCCTGCTGCCCCACCCACCCACCCCAACTCAAGTTGCAATATTAATATAAAGCAACTGGGTACAACACATCAAATATTCACAATTTGGTACAGCCCAAACCAGGAAATCATCAACAGAGAAATCCTGACTTCAGAAAGCATTTGCTTATAGCCTATGTGTGTCCATGGATACATCACAGCCAAGTGTCTAACATGCCCTCTGTTCAGAGCAAGTGGAGCCCAGTGAGTCTCAGCCAGGAGTTACAGTTCCTGCCTCCGTGTGCCTTTTGATTTCAGGCTTCCCCTAGCACTTTACAATCACATGAATATCTGGACAAAAACTTCAGTGGATGGTGGAATTTCCCCTTTTCACTGGTCTCAAAGTCTTCATTCCAATTTGGGGAAGCATTCTAACAATAAATGATCTCATAGTACTGTGGAATTAATGCCCAGAAACCTGAAAACTAAACACCCATAGTAGGGAGCACTGGTCAGAAACACATCACAGGAACTAGCTTTGTCAACTATTTTCTTGGATTCAGCAACAGGCTGAACTATATATTAAATTTAGAACCTGTATAAGAATTCAAATCTCGGTAAGACCACCAATGTCCAGGTCAAACTGAGCGCACAAACAGCCCAGGAAACATCTAAACACTGTGTTCAGAACTGCTAGAAAAACACTTGTAAAGTAAATACCCCAAATTGACTTCAATTACGGAAGTGAGGTTTGGAAAAAGACACAACAGACATGTTTAAAAACACAAATAGCGAAGACGTGCCAGAACTGGGCATCCCAGATGATTCTAAATGCATTGTTCAAACTGAACTCTTACAAAACATGCAAAGATCACAAATACTCTGAAAGTTTCCACAAAGCAACACTTACTAGAAAAAGGACTTTCTTAACAGTTAAGAAAGGGAAAAAAAAAAGTCTAGATCCTTAGAATTTGTTAATAACCAACAGAAAAATTGCTTGGAAAAAAAAAGAATTCTCAGGAGTGGAAAACTTATGTCCAATATTCATGTCAACACTTAGAGCACCCCAAGGTCTACACATGTCAGTATCAAACAGCACTCAACTCTCCACATCTGAGGCTGGAGGTTATCTCACAGCTGTCCTATCTGCTTGCCAGGTGCTATAAATAGCCTTTATGAACTGGAGGGGTAGACCTACAAAATAAGGTACAAGTCTGCCAACGCAGATACACAGCTCCCATCATAGGCTTATCATGAAAGAAAAGTGGAGGTCACAGGCTACTTTCTCTAATTAGCTGGTCAAGCTGGGGCCTCTCTGGAGGCAGCAGAACAACAACACAGTTAAAAGTATATGATTAGCTTCATAAGCCTATTTGCATTTCAAATCACATCATTTAGTATTTGACATTTTATTGGTAAGAAAACAGCAGCTATGAGAAAAGCAAACCATAAACTCATTTTGTTGAAAGCATGGTATACAACTGAATATAAATATTCTGTCATTAGCTTGAAATTCATCCTGGGGACACACACTGTAACATCAGCAATCTTGACACAAGAAAGAATCCAGCACAAGAGTGAATGGTTCCCTATCAGTTAAGATTCCCAAACGAGCCTATGAATAAAATTAAAAATAAAGGATTCTGAGAAAGGGAAAATTTCAGGCCAGAACTTATCTTACTTAAAACAGTTCCCAATTTTTAATAATAAATAACTGACTCTTGCTATCCTAGATTAAAAACTGTTCTTGGGAATGCTGGGGAATCCAACCCTGGATTCTGAATACACACCAGCATTACCTATTGACCCAGTTTAGCTGGGCTCGTCTTCCCACTGGAAAACCTAAGTGACCTTATAAGGCATATAAAACCTTAGAGCAATCTAACTGCTAGTAGTAGTACCATTACACAATAAAGGTCTGCTTTATAACTGCCAAAGAATTAAGTGCAATGATGTAACTTCTCGTACTTATAATGTGATTGTTCTTAGGCAAAATACTAATACTGGTTCTCCAAAAAATTTTTTATTTTTATTTACTTTGTGTGTATGACTGTTTTGCCTAAATGTATATTTGTGTACCACATACATACCTAGCGGCCTCAGAGGTTAGACAAGGGCATCGGATTCCCTGGGACTGGAGTTATGGATGGTTGTGCTTACCATGTGGGTATAGGGAAATAAACCAGGTCCTTTGCAAGGATAGCATGTACTCTTAAGTGCTGAGTCATATCTCTGGTTCCGTAATTTCTGGCTTCTTATAAAATCAAACATAAACTCACTATATAGATCAGGAATTCCACATCTCACTATTTTTCTCAAGAGCAGTAAGACCTGTGTTCATACAGACACTTGTTTGTGGTATTATAGTAGTTTTAATTATAATTCTTGAAAGACTGTATTTAGTTGGAGCTAGAAGAGCATTGTGATGTACAAATGCATGCCACAGTAAAGTACAGGTATATTCAATAAAGGATGAGGCAAGGAGAATTTTATTTTTGAGTCAAAATCTTGGAACATAACTCCACACTGACATGGAACTACTAAATCTTCCTGCCTCAGTTTCCTGTGTATGCCTAGTGACCTCTGATTCAGAAGAGTTGGATACCCTAGAATTAGACTTACAGACAGTTGTGGGCTGCTATGTGGTTTCTGGGACTCAAACCCAGGACTTCTGTAAGAACAAGTTCTCATCTCTCCAGCCCACAAGCAAATTTCTGTGAACTTCTTCACTATGTTTAATCAAGTAATTAGTGCATATGGAGAACTCAAGCTTATTTTGGGGTTATATGGTATAAGAGCCATATTAAAAACACAGTCAAAATTAATAAGGTTAAGCCAGGTATATGGCTTGTACTTTTAAGCCCAGAAGAGCTCAAGGCCAACCTAGGCTAGTGAGTTCCAGGCCAGCCTAGGCTACTGAGTGTGCTTTAAACTAAGTACTGGTTTAGCAGTTGTATCTTTAAAAAACAAAATGTTTATGAGAATGGTGAGGTTTAGGTAGGGCAACCAAAAATCTATAAATAAACAAACTGCCTTGGGGGGCTTATTATAGAGTCAGCCATCCTCTTACTTGGAATGTGAATTCTCCTTAGGAAGAAAGAAGCTGTAAAAAGCATATTTGCCTCAATATATTCCCTTCTATATTAATTTATAAAAAATGAGAAGCCGGGTGGTGGTGGTGCACGCCTTTAATCCCAGCACTCAGGAGGCAGAGGCAGGTGGATCTCTGTGAGTATGAGGCCAGCCTGACCTAGAGAATGAGTTCTAGGAAAGACTTCAAAGCTAGAGAGAGAGGGAGAAGGAGAGGGAGAGGGAGAGAAAGAGAGAAATACTATATATTAAAGCTTAGAAATACAACTAAAAGATAGGCATGGTGGCTAACTGTAATCCAAGGAGGACCCAGAGGTTCAAGGTCATGTTCAACTATACAGTTACTTAAGAAGCCAGCCTGATCCAGACAGCCAGGACTACCTACAGAAACTGTGTCCTGGGTAGAGGGGAGGCTAGCTTGAACTACATAAATGTTTGAAAACAAAACAAATTAAGACAAAAAAGAGAATGGAGAAGAAAGATTAAAAGGTTGTTTCACTTCAGGGTTTCATCATATCCAATAACCTAGGCACCCAAGCTCTTTAATGGAGAAACTAACCAAAGCTATAATAATCTCTGCTCTTAAAAATAAATGAACCGAATACCTCTTAATTCTAAGCTGTCTCATTACCAGGACTAACACAAAGGTGAGTCTAAAATACAAATAATCATCATTGAAATACTAAATCTCTGTATTACAGGAGAAATCAATATATTAGAATGGTACTCTTTGGTTATTTTGAGTTCTAAAGAACATTCCCGCCCCATTCTAAAATCTGAACTAGGGATTCTAGGTTTCACAGTAAACAACTGAAATATCAAGTAAGGCAAACCAATAATGTTGAATATTCGTTCACCGCCCAATGGCCTTTAGGAGAGGTGGTCACTCAAGTGGTAGAGACTGAAAGTAGCAGCTTAAGCTTCTGGAAAAGTGTGAGCCCCTGAGAGGCTCATTCTTCCTATCCTTATTACTTTTCAAGTTTTAGTTTTACACAAGGCATTACTCATAAATTTGTACTCCGTAATTTACTATTAAGTAAGTAAACAAATGATCTCTAAATGGTGTGACACTACAAAGATCCACTCTATAGGACAAGAACTATTTTTAAACATCAGCTTAATGGAAATCTTAAAAGGTCGCATCTGCCCAAACCAAGTGTGAATTTCACAAATTACACAACTGCTGAGCCAGTACCTAGCTTAAAGCACACAAATTCAGCTCCAGTGCTGGGGACATCTGCTTCACATTCATGTTTCAGTCATTTTTAACACTCAGTAGGCTTACAGCATTAAGTTTTTAAAAAATAACTGGCTGTTTAAAGATCACTAGATCTGTATACTGTACTCTGCTTTGTGATTTCATCATCACAGTGAGGTCTATAAGAGACTGGGTAAAAGATACTTGGACACAGAAAAAAAATCAAAGAAACTGATTAACAAGTACACTTTTAACACTTTAATTAGTCTGAGAATAAAATAAAGGGAGAGACCAAATGCATAATACTTTGGGGATATTTTTATCTGTAAGGGCTATGATTCCAGACACACTTCTTCCATGAGGTTAATTCTACTAGTAGTTAACCCTATCCTTCTCCACTCATGTCAAAACTTAAAAACATCTAAAGTCCTCTGACTTCAAAAGGTAGAACTAATCTAGTCCAATTCTGTTTACTTTTTTCTCGCTTCTCTGTTTTTCAAACAAGAAATTCTAGAGTCAGAGAAGGAAAGTAACTTGCCAATATAACGAGAAGCAAAGTTGTTACCCAAGTGTAATAAGCCCACCAGGATCAAACACCATGTACTGTACCCAAGGAGAGAAATCCTGCCTTCATTTTTCAGGAGCCCTCCGGTATTTTTCTCTAGTGTTCAAGTGAGATGCCTGCTAATTAAAGAATTTCTAGTACTTGAGTTTAAAATTCTTTATTATTTGGACAAAGGTCTTTACTTACGGATAAACTTAATGCTTCAAATCTACTATTTTAAAGAGGCAGAATCAAGAACGAGTCACAGCACCTGGCTTGCTACTGTCCATTTTCTTCTCTGGGAGAACACCCCTAATTAAACCTACACTATCCTTCCCTCCTGAGTTCCTATTATCACAGTTCAACCCTGAAAGGGATAACACTCACCTTCCTGCTGTTATCCATGTATACAGATGATTCCTTAATTGGATGAAACAATTCAAAGAGATCTTAGCTTTCAAAATATTTCCGATGTTTGACTACAGACTCAATAGAGTGTTAATACAGTAGAATTGTATGCAGAACAAAGCAAAAAGATAAAAAAAAACCAAAGGAAAAACAAAGGTTGTTCAATAACCTATCATGAACAATCTATCAGAAAAGATAATTGTATCTTTTTTTTTTTTTTAAATCTTTCTATGTTTTCCATCTATTCTTGGCAAATAATGTTGCAGTTATTTTTCTTACTGAATTATTTTTAAAAAACAACGGATACCTGTCTGTTAAAAATGGCATAATTAAGATTTTATAAGGATAGTACAAATCCCACAATCTCGACCCCAACTATCCCTTCCCGCTTTAAGGAAACAAAACCCTTCAGCTGACAAAGCCTCATATAAAAGATGACCGTAGAGTAAAGGGACTCCAACTGACGTAGATAATATACCACACAAGGGGAAGGAACAGACTTTGGGCTCTAATTCTAATTTGGCCCTTAGCAGTAACGACACACTGCACAAGCTGCATGAATTCGTTTTCTTCCTCATTTATAAATGAGAAGCGTATACCATGTAGGTCTGCATGACGACGGAAGGAGGAAACACGCGTCACACAGCACACGCTAGCTCCTCACAGCCAGTCCTGCTCTGCCCTCAGCAGGAACCGTGCTCAAGTTGAGACAGCTTTTCTCTCACGAGTTCATTCCCTTTCTTTATATGTCACTCTCCAGTTTATCTTGTCCCTTTCCTCCTTTAAAAACTTCTGAGCTGTTTCTACTCCGATAGGGAACCACTATGCTTAACTCACACAGCTTTCACATAACTGTCCAGTAAAAGCTCTCCCTTGAAAGAAAAATAACATGCAGAAGAACAAAGACAAACTTCTTACATAGATTAAATACGTGAGCAAGGCAATATTCCCATTTATTTTTCTCATGTATATCCATAACTCCTCCTTCCATGGGCCAATCCTGGTCAAAAGGAGTAAAATCTCCCACAGCTCATCATCCTAAGCTTGATAAACGTGCAATGCCCTGTTAACACACATAGACACTCAGTCATCTTAATTTCTCATAAATGGATTTGCCAATGCTAAGTATATTTTTTAAAAAAAGAAAGAAAGAACTGCATACACCCTCTCACTCTGAACATCCTGCCTCAGGTTCTCAAGACAGGTTACTCTATAGAGAACAAAGCAGAGCCCTTGAAGGGACAACTCTTGACTGGTTTGGGCTTTAGCTGGGCCTGTGCTGCGAGTGGAGATGGTGCCAGCACAGCAAAGCTGAGAATGCTCTCACTTTTACCCTGTGGCTCCTGAAGGCTTTAGGCTGCTTACCTTGACTGTTAGTTTTACACATTTGAGAGTATACAGTTCCATTCCTCAGACAGTTTTTATTCAAGTTCAAAGCTACAACTGAGGAATTAACATGCTTGCTCAATATATCCAAACTGTTGGTTAAGCCTCAAGCGCTATAAAAACACCAAAGTGGTATTATTCAGTCACCAATCTAAAGAGAGAACTTTGACTCAAAGTATAAATGAAATTGTAATTATATAAATATATTTATAAATATTTATACAATTATATACTTATACATAAGCACTTACACAGACTTAGAAAAAAATGTAAGAACATTAATTCAAAAGGACTCACTGAAAAATAACAGAATTTCCCATGATTTCCTTGAGGAGATACATAACCATTCGTTAGGAGGTCCCTCAAACTCTAATCATTAACAACCATATTCTACATCGCACACCAGTAACATACCACATCTCTTTAGCTTATCTTTTTAATCCCTAGTTACCAAGAGAGCAACCTGCACGTGCACAGGAACCCAAAGGTTCCTCAAGTACAAGAATCAATCGAAATCTCCGATTGACAAGACAGGTCATTCTATAGAAATGGTTTTATAAGCAGTTTCAAGTTTTATTTCCCACCAACCACTATAGTTCTGCTGAAGCACTCTATCTAAAAGCTCAAGGAAAGAACTGAGCACAGAGTAAAGCTGATGATAATATAGTGCTGTACAAAACAGGTGGCCTCTTCTAAATAATACTGAAAAAAGCTTTCACCAAATACAACTTGAATGTCGACTTGTTGGCAGAAAAAGACTCACATCTGACGGTTACTGGTAATGTCCTTCTTACTAACTGTAGTCTTATGAACTGAGTTTTAAGGTCTTCCTATCAGAGGCTTTCAGTTTTAAAATTTTATAGAATAAAACAGCATGAGGAATTAAAGTCATTTAGTTACCAGAGCATTTTAGAGTATTTCCAGTTGGGGATAAAAAACAAAATCACTATTTCTAATCAAAAGAACATCACTAGCAACTCTCAGCTGCAGGTTCCCCCGCCCTGCCCACCCCCCAACCCCAGGACATACCTAAGTACGCCTTAAGCACATAGGACAATCAATAACCACAGTGTTTACAATTATAGGCATTGTACTACATGATTATTGAACACCTGCCTTCCTACAGAACACTACAGACTCGGACAATGAAAACAAAGGAACTAATTGGCTGTGCAGGCAAAACAGCAAGCACCTTCCTAGCCCAGACACAAGACGCTCACTAAAGGTTCATCCTAGGACTGGACGGAGGAATACAACTAATAGAGCAATAATAAAGAAAACTGTCCCAGGCTAGGACACTGAAAGCCACCCTGTGCTACACAATACATTAAGCATTCATTCTGCCAACAACACACATCATGGAAATAACTCTTGTAACTGGAAGATGGGAACCCTGGGGGAACTTTAACTATGATGAGCAATAGTATAGGGGATCTTCTCCACATAAACAAAAGCCTGGATACTTCATTAGGAGATCTTCTTATATGAAAAACAAAATGTATGTTAAGACAATTTCTTTTACCTACCAAAAATGGGGGTTGTTTTTTAATTCTGATTCTAGCCATTCTTTGTCATAAGAGTCTATGGTTAACACCACTAGATACCAAAAAGGTGCCACAAAAGAGACCACTTATTAAAACACACATTTCCTGCTGCCAGCACTGGGAGAGACCTTATCCTTATCTTTACACTTCCATTTGGTCACATGTGATAAGAAAGAGAGAAAAAGAAGAAAATCACAGAGGAAGAGGGGAGAGAGAGAAGCAGGTGAGAGAAAGAAATAAAGGAAAGGCAGGTGACTTGCTTGTCCAGCTTCGGCTCTATAGTCCTATGAGCCAAATGCATACTTAGTGACATGGTACCTCACAGGAAAAGGGAAGAAGGGGTAAGCTGAGAGAGGTCAGGTCATGGTGTTAATTTCTTTCCTGTACAAAGACAGTCTCTTGAGGACAGAGGCCTGCCTCTTGTAAGGTAATGTCATAGTCCAGATGAGAGAGCTTCCTCCGAGGGAAATTGGTAAGAAGTTCAAAACGTTCATTTGGATATCCTTTAGATTGGACGTGCTTCACCAAAGCCTATGAAAAATAAGAATAAGACAAAACTATTAGCTGGAAATAACACCATGCTGACTAATTTATAAGAATACTCTATTTTTATCACATTAGATAAAAGTAAGTTATTCAGATAATCAAAGCTTATTTATAGAAGGTCAACAATTCTTTGTCCTGGTGTGCTAGAGTTTTCGAAGAGAATCTGCTGGTCTTAATTCATGGGTAGGGAGGGGTCTTGGGTGTCCCTGTTAGCGATGAGATCAGAAACATGTCTTACCTGAGGCCACACATGGCAAGGCATGCTTTAATCCCAGCATTATAAAAACGTATTGGTGAATTTTTCAGCAGAAGAGCTGAAGATAAAGGGTGTTGGAGGGTTGGAGGTGCCTGTGTTCTGGTGACTTGAAGCCACCCAGGGAGGCTAATTAAATACTAACATTTTCCAAGTTGAGGGAAAAAAGTTCAACAAAACTCTTTGGATAAGTAAGATAAATCCAGGGGCTGGAGAGATAGCTCAGTGGCTAAGAGCACTGACTGCTCTTGCAGAGGACCCAGGTTCAATTCCCAGCACCCACATGGCAGCTTACAACATTCTGAAGATCCAGTTGCAGGGGATCTGACACCTTTACACCAATGCACATAAAATAAAGTTAAATAAACCATAAAAAATATTAAAAAAGAGATAAATCCATATCCAGTAACTTATGAATATAACTATGTGATATAAAAAGAGTCACTGCTAACTCCTCAATAAATAAACCCAGTCAATATTTATAAAATATAGCACTGTTTTTCTTCCTCCATCAGGGAATATGTCCTTTCAATCATGACCACACAACTGTCTGTTACAATGTCAACACTTCCTTCTCTACAAATGCTTTCTCATCAGATAAACATGCTCAGTCTTTTCCAGTTATCTTTTCCCTTTACATATGGTCTAGTTTTCTACGCAGTTTTGCAACTAAAATTCTCAAAAGGGTGGGTTACACAGCAGTGACACATGTCCCTAGGAAACACACACCATAACCCCGGTAGATATGTAACTGACACAGATAGTACAAACCTCTGTATATTGACAAAAACTAATAATAAAACACTATACATATAAATTTTTATACGTACATACATACACACATTTTATATATGCTAGCATTACCTCTTTTAACCTTTGGGACCATCAGTAACTAACAGTCACTGCACAGTTGCAAAAATACATACACACATTTAAAGTATGTATTATGTATGTATGTATGTATGTATGTATGTATGTATGTATATCCCCAAGTAAGTAAGTAAGTAAGTAAGTAAGTAAGTAAGTAAGTAAGTCTGAATATCACCAAGACAGGGTTTCTCTGTGTGTCCCTGACCATCCTGGAAGTCACTCTGTAGACCAGGCTGGCCTCAAACTAAAAGATCCACCTGTCTCTGCCTCCTGAGTGTTGGGTTTATTAAAGGCGTACACCGCCATACCCATCAAAAATGTTTTGTTTTGTTTTAAATATAAGTTCTAAAAGTTTTTTGAAGTTACCTGACCAGAAACCCTGTGATAACTATAATATTCATTATTACTAAGATGATTATTGCCTCTCAAGCATACACCACCAGACTACCCTGGATAAAAGGAATGGTTCATATCACAGGTGATAGAGTGGGATGGTAGGTTTCATTGTGCTATTCAGAATAAAATGTAATTTAAAACTTATGCATTGATTCTGGAATTTTTCATTTAACATGTCTATACCACAGTTTGCTGAGAGAACTAGGAGGCTCCCCTCTCGCCTCTGTCCCAGTTAGACAGTAGTAGCATTCTGGCATGGGCCGGCAACTACAATTTGTCAGTCTTCAACTTTATGGTTAATTCCAAAGTCCCCAAAGGCACATGTTCTGAGCCTTTAGGATGTGGGGCCTGGCTGGCCGAGTAGGTCACCCACAAGCAAGCCTCGAAGGTCCTATCCACCCCTCTGGGTCTAGTCTAGTTCTCTACTTCCTGACCCACAGCCACATGAACAAGTCCCCGGCTCCCATCACTAGAGAGGGAGCCTCTGCCATGCTTTCACTGCCATGCATATCCTGCTCTGCTGGGATGAAATTTCTTGGAAACTATGACCCAGAAGAAACCCTTCCTCCCTTAAACTGTTTTTGTTTTTTAAGTTTTTTTGAGACATGGTTTCTCTGTATAGCTTTGGAGCCTGTCCTGGAACTAGCTCTTGTAGACCAGGCTGGCCTTGAACTCACAGAGATCCGCTGCCTCTGCCTCCAGAGTGCTGGGATTAAAGGCGTGTGCCAACACCACCTAGCCTGCCTTAAGTTGTTTCTGTCAGGTATTTTGTTGTAGCAATGAGGAAAGTGACTAACCCCAAGCATAGTGATAGGCTAGGAATGGGGACCACCCACAGGTTATGCTAGTAAGATCAAATTTCTTTTCTAGTACTTAGGTCTTTAGAAGCTCCTTGGCAGGTGCTGTCATATGCAAACCAAGGAGTAAATAAATCTTACAGGTATACAAAAAGGGGAATGGAATAAAATAGAGACTCACAAGAAAAAATTCTAACAGACCACAGAAGAGATTAGGAACCTTGGTTCCTAACTACTTTGTAGTAACAGATGCTACCAAGAAACCCAAGATCCCCACTACAGTCTTCAGATAAAACCACTACTTCTTTTCTAGAAGTCAGTGTTTACCCACACAAACACAGAACTGAAAAGCCTTGGTTGGCCTGTGACTTGCCTAAAAAATGAGAAGAAAATAAACTAATTAAAAATAAGACAGCAGCTCATATTTAAAATTGAAACACTTGGGAGGCTAAGCAGAAAGACTATTTTAAGTTCTAGGCTAGCCTGGGTTGTGAAGTGAGACCCCCCACCTCAAATACCACCACATCCTTAATTCTAGCATTTGGGAAGCTAAGGTAGGCAAATCTCTGAGCTCCAGGCCACTCAGGGCTATGTAGTGAGACCAACCCTGCAGCAAAACAAAAACAAAAAAACAAACAAAAAACAAGTACAAAAAAAAAAAAAATCTCACAACCCTGCCCCCCCCCCAAAATCCGTAAGACTCTTGACAATGAAGTTTCGATTTAGATATCAGATGCCCTACATCTTTGTCAGAGAGTCGAGCAATATCTACTTGACTTCAATTTTCTGTGGTCGCTAGGGTAAGGGTATAGAATAGTGGTAGGGTCTGCTTAGCATGCATTAGGTTATGGGTTTAATCCCTAGCAATCATTTTCTTTGCTTTAATCAAATGTTTCAGTGAGATACACTCACCAGCAGTTTAGCTTGCTCTGGAAGAGTGATCTGCTCCCTTTTTCCATCTGGGTACCGTAGCATTAGCTGTGCTTTTGGTCCTAAGGAAGAGTTATACACACATGGGTGTTTAATATGGGAGATTAACTAGAACAAGTTATTTAGTACATTCAAGTTCAGCAAGTAACCCACCATTTACATCTATCCCCTCCACTATTCCGTCTGACTTTTCAGGTGACATCTCCAAGAGCTCAGGATCCATGGTTGGCAATCCTTGATGGTTTGTGGCTGTGCCAGGCTCAGTTCTGGCTGGGGGCTCAATCAGTGGCCTTCTGTTCTCCTCTTTTCTATGCCCCAGATCTTTATGAGGAGACTTTCTAGACTTAGCAAGATTCTCTACTTCCTCTTCTTCATCAGAGCCACAAACCGATATGAATTCCTCACTGCCAGAAAAAAGTTCTGATTCAGATTCTTCATCTGAGCGGTTATCCTGCTTTGCCTGTGCTGAGTCGAAATGTGTCTCCTGCAGAGAGGCTCTGATGGCAGCTTCCAGCTGGCTGTCTTCACTGGCATCTATGAGGCTCTCCTATGAGGTGTAGTCAAAACACAGGTGGAAAGAATAACAGTTAAACCAAAAACCACTCAAACAGGATATAAAAAACATACAGTCAACACATCACTGTAATTTTCTGCCGAAGCAGAATCTGTCTCTTGTACAATATGAGGTCAAGGACTTTTATTAGAAAGTAAAACTAGAATGGCTACTTTAAAGGCAAAAATAAAAGACTATCATTAAACTGGAAATGATGGCACATACCTATAATGCCAGCATTCATGAAGCAGAGGTGGGAGATTGTTCAAAGTCTAAGACTAGCCTGTGCTACAAAGTGAGACACTGTTTGAAACACAGATAAGCAGCACAAATATCTCATAGTACCCAGTACACTAATATTTTAAGCCATCAAAATGAACAAAGCCAAGAAAATAGGTTATAATTTTTTGTTTAGAAAAATAACAATTTATTTATTTTAAAGATGTATTTATTATATATATAGTGTTCTTGTCTGCATGTATGCCTGCAGGTCAGATGAGAGCACCAGCTCTCGTGGCAAATGGTTGTGAGTCATCATATGGATGCTGGAAATTGAACTCAGGACCCCTGGAAGAGCAGTCAGTGCTCTTAACCGCTGAGCTATCTCTCCAGCCCCCGAACTCAAGTTTTAAATATAAAGCCAAACTACTATTCTTTAATATAATTAAAATAATTAAACATCAGAAAATGTCTCCTTTGCTTATCATTAAATGCAATGATTCTTAGCATTCAAAACAAGAAAATATCCTTATCAAGATATGACATGGTGGTATGCCATATCAATCCTCCCAGGATTTAACACTTGGGGGGGCTGAGGTAGTAAGTTTGCAAGTTTGACTTCCAGCACGCAGCATACAGTGAGATCATCTCAAAAAAAAACCAAAAACAACTAAGGGAAACATTCGGGGTATAAATGGACAGATTAAATTCTTGAAAGCTTAGTAATAAAGATTTTCATTATGATAATGAGAAATGCATATTCCTTTTATTATTTATATAAACATATTTATTTATTTATACCTGTATGTATGTGTACGGCTATGCAGCTAGTGTGTACACATTTAAGTTCTGACTAGCTGGCAGGAATTGTTCTCTCCTTGCACCACAAGGGTTCTAGAGATTACTCAGGTCATCAAGGTTGGAAGAAGGTGTCTAACCCACTAAGCCATCTAACAGCCATAGAAATACAAATTTTTAATTTTCTCTTGTTAAAGTTTTGAATATCACAGATTGTTATCTTTTTTCTTGGAGGTTGGGGGTTCAAGACAGGGTTTCTCTGTGTAGCTCTGGCTGTCCTGGCACTCACTATGCAGACCAGGCTGTCCTCAAACTCAGAGTTCAGAGATTGGCCAGCCTCTGCCTCCCAAGAGCTAGGACTAAGGGCATGTGTCCACTGCCCACACAGATTTCATTTTTAAAAGTCACAAAATATGGACCACCTGAATGGAGCTAATTTATGCATGCATATCATGTACATGCCTGGTACCTACAGAGCCTAGAAGGCACTGAATCACTGGAACTGGGGCTACGGGTGGTGGTGAGCTGTCTGATGTGGGTGCAGGGATCTGAGCCAGGGTTTTCTAGAAGAGCAAGTCTCTTCTTCATGGAGCCGTCTCTCCAGCTCAGCATTATGATTTTTTTTTTTTTTTTAAAAAAGAGTCTTCTATAGTCCAGATCGGCTCAAAACGCACTATGTGGCTCAGGATGATCTTGGAACTCTCGATCCTTTTCCTACTGCCATATAATATTTTTTTAAAAATTAAGCCAGGCATGATGGGGCACACCTTTAATCTCAGCACTTAGAGGCAAAGGCAAGTGAATCTATGTGATTTCAAGTACAGCCAGGTCTACAGAGTGAGTTCTTGGACAGGCAGAACTACATAATGAGAAACCTTTCCTAAAAAACAAATAAATGAATAAAAATAAAATCAAGTCTAATTTATCATCCATATAAAGCAAGTAGACTTATTTATGGGATAGCACTAGCTTAAGTGACTAAATTTGCAGTAACACTGTACAGCAGGGAGACAGCAGATAGCACCAGGTTCCTATCGTTCCTATCCAATACTCACTCTTCCCTGGGATTCCTTACTTACAGAACCCAAATTATGGTTATAAACAAAAATACCAGGGGCCAGAGAGTTAGTTCAGATTAAAAGAACCTGCTACTCATTTTAGAATTTTATTTTTATTATTTTAATATGTATGTGTATGTATGTGTTCACATGAGTGTAGGTGACCACACACATCAGACCTGGAGCTGATTATGAGCAACCTGATGTGGGTGGGAACCTGGACCTGAACTCAGTTCCTCTGGAAAAATAGTATATGCTCCCACTAATCCCACTACAGTCAGCATCATTTTACAGTAATTACTCAGCCATCTTTTCAAGAGCAACTCATCAAGAGCCGGGGCTTTTGGTGAAGGTTTTAAACCAAAAGGCAAGGGTTTTCTGCATTATTGCTTTGTGAATAAAGTGGTTGTTTCTTGCTGTAGATGTTCGCTATGGCTGACTCCCCTTCTGTTACAAATTTATGAATTAATTCCCACAGTTCAGAACTGTTTCCTACGCTTTGGGGGCTCACTGATCACATTCCCCTAGCTACAGGTGAAAAGTTTCACACTGCCAGGCCTTGGTTCCTCTCCTAGGTAAGCACAGGGATCTGCCTTCCTGCAATTATCTTTATCAACAGGCATTTTGCCAGTGTTTAGGGTCCAGGTAAGAGCATTCCATTTAAGATATTCACATATATCCAAGGACACAGAATTACTACTTGCCCAAAGCTGTTGATTCATAGTTTCTCAGATACATAGAATAAGCATGCCCTGGTTATACCCCACTTAAAAAATTCCTAACTCCTTACACCTTAACCTCAGCTTACTGATGATTTCAGTTCAGGAAACTTACTTCTTGTATTTTACTCTCAAGGACAGCAGAGAAAAACTTCCTTCCCATTGGCACCACCGACCCATAACACCTGTGATCAGATTCGCTGATAACAGTACACCCTGGAACTGATAATTTAGAGGCCAGGGTCTCATCTTTGTTTCTACCACTTAGACCAGTAAGTGTAAGTGCCAGACCTAGACCCATGGAAATTACAGTGTCTGATGAATATGCTAATCAGAGCAGGAACCATTAGCTTCCTCCTGACTGTTTACATAGGTTACCTGGTTACACAATATCCTCTATGCATGCTGGGAGAAAAAAAAATGGCATGCTGACTTAATAAACAATCTTTGTTCTATTCATAATTTTATTGAAAATAAACCTTTAACCACCTAAAAAGGTAGTGTAGCTTACTAGATTTCCCCTCTAGAATTCCCTGATGATTTAATTCATTTCTTTACTTTTTCCATTAAGGAGTTCACCAGACGTACACTAAGCCACTCCCACTGAGTGACAGTGAGCTGACAGCCACAGATGTGTGTGTGTGTGTGTGTGTGTGTAAACTCCTTTCTGATTTTTATGGAGCAAAAGAATTCCAGTGCTGAAACCTGCTAGGGCTGGGTCACTGCTGGTTATATTTGTTATGGTTTTCGTCTCTTTAAGAGACAAGCCACGCCTACTCCCAGCGACCCCCTGCCCTCCTCCTCCCATCTTAGATTCTGTCTGTCCCCTCTCAGCACGCGCTTGTCTCTCTGCTCCCCCCTTCTCTGTCTTTCTCCTCTTCTCTCTCTCTCTCTGCCCCTCCTTCTCCCTTCCCCCTCCATAACCCCCTGAATAAATATTCAACCTCACTCTATATGTTGTGTCTATCCATGTCTCTGTCTCCTGCCTGACACCCGCCATGTGTCTCCCTGCCAGGGATCAACCACCGCTCAGGAACTGGCAGCTGTCTCTGTCTGTGACTGGCTGCTCCCTGAGTCCGCTGCCTGCCTACTGCTGCCGGGAACCTCCCAGCATTTTTAAAAAATCATAAAAATATTACTGGGAACGTTTGTAACAAGTGGGTTAAGGAATAAGAAAGAAGAAAAATAAAGAAACATGGATAGAAAAAAAATGTGTTATGAGTAGGTTTCTTAACCCTTGGATTCTAGCTCCTTTTGCTTATTGTGGTGTCTTTAATTGAATCCTGAGAGGGATTCGTAAGAGCTGGTCTCTTGAAGACCCCCTTATACTCTATCCCTCCAGCCCCACCTTCTACTCTTGCAGAGAACACTGGGTCAGTTCCTAAGACCCACATCATGGTTCTCGACCATTTGTAACTTCAGTTCCAGGGGATCCAACATTCTTGTGGACTTCAAGGGCAGTGCACACATGTAGGACACATACACGCAAAACACACATAAAATAAAAAACTAAAAAGTTTTTTTTTAACTAAAAAAGGTCTAATTAAGAAAGTCCATGTACTACTTGCCCTATAGTATTTATTTGCTTGTTTTGTCTATGACTTGTTTTGAGACAGGCCTCACTCTACAGCCTGAACTAGAATAGAATGCAATATATAGTTCTGATTGTCCCCAAACTTGCACTTGTTCTCGATTCAGCCTCTTGGGTGCTGGGATCAGACATGTGATACCTTGTAAACTAAGAATAAAAGGAATACAGGCAGGAGATGGAGGCATAAGTATCAGGAATTCAAGGATTCCTGAATCTGAGCCCATTGGACAAGATCATAATCTGCTCCACAAAAAGGAGGAAACCTCAGTAACTTCTTAAAGTACATCTTAATAAACATATGGACTAGAGAGACAATCAGTGGTTAAAGAGCTTACTTCAAAAGTGGGAGGACTATTGCTCAGATCTCTAGAACCCTTATAAATGCTCGGTGGGTGTAGCAGTCTGGCTATAATACCAACATTCAGTAGGCAGAGAAAGGGGCTCTCATAGCAAACTGTCTAACCAGATTAGTTATATTTATGAATCTTGGGTTCAACTGACACCCTGCCTTAGTGAATAAGGAGGAACGCTTACATGCACTCCCATACACAAGAACATACACACACACATCACACAAATACAAATTTTAAAAGGAGTTATATAACCAGACAGAGGAACTTCTAGTGGTGAGACAAAGTCTCCAGGAGCCAGGAAAGGAGCACTAAGAGACTCCAACAGTCAGATTAGTGCTGCTGTTGCTATAGTAACAGAAACTTCTTTCTGCAGTGGACAATGGTAACTGCAAAAACTCAAAAGGGGTTAAAATGTAGAGAATATAATGTTGAATGTTCAGCCATAAATGGAACTATAGCATTCATCGCAGCCTCTCCATAGTTCAGCAAATGCCATGGAAGAGAAGGCAGAGAGAATGTAAGATGTGAAGGATGGGGTGGAGGGACATTTTCTGGGATAAGTGCAATGGCTGTGATCACCTGTATAAATCCTATACAGGATGGACCCATCAACACCCTGCCATGGAAAGAACTTACAAAGGCACAACCTCTCTCTAAAATAAACAGTTAATGGTTGCTGGGAATGGAAAGGACATTTTCTTCAGGAGTGTAGCCACTGGTAAGGTGTCAATGCTCCTGCAAATGATTTCTCACTAAGCTTCTATAAATAAGCTTGGGTCACACAAATAAGTAAATGAACAAAAATATGAAACTCTACATACATATATACATATACAAACATACATGCATTCATACATATCCGTTAACAGCAAGATGCGTCATAAGAGCTATTCAAATTAATAAATTTGTTTATTGAGGTTGTACTCTAAGGTCAATACAAAAAAAAAAAAAAACAAGAAAATACTGCTGGGAGAAATTAAAGACACAAAAATAGGGAGATATTTTCCATACTACCAGACCTGAAGATTCAATTATTAGATGTCCATAGAACCAGTGTATTCCAATTAAAATTATAGCAAGTTTCCTTGTATTAAATAATACGCTGGTCCTAAATTCGTAAAGAAATGTGAAATGCCCAAAGTAAACAGAAAAATTTCATTTATTCAATTTAGGTACTTATTTTAGATATGGGCTATTTCTTTTATCACTATACACTATAGACTTCTAAAGATACATAATTTTATTCTCATTGCCATCAAAATCCAAACGGCAATAATAACCAAAGTAAGACTGCCTTATCTTTGAAGAGCTTTTACTTGAAACTAATCATAATGTCAATTAGCAAAGATGTCTGCATAATAACTATTACAGAGATTAAATGTAAAAATAAACTCTGGGAGGGCCAGAGAAACCCAGGACCTAAAGCTATCTCACCAGTAATAATGCCAAATAATATCCCAAGTGAAAACTTTACATCCACTGTTGCTTCAGTCTGGCTTGAGAAGTCCTCCCAGAGTCGCTTTAGGAAGATCCCTCTACCAGCAGCCTGGCCACCGGTTCTCCTGCTTTATACACTTAAGATTGTTCCTTTCTTTTCTTTTTATTCTTTAATTATGTATATATGTAGGGGGTTGTATACTTTATTATGACTTCACTGAGTAGAAGAAATTCTTCAGCAGAAAACTATCAAAAAAGAAGTATCTAAGTAGTACAGTCAGAAACCCTAACTGTTCACTACTTATGTTATTAAAAGTACCATGTTAACATCAAATGCTTCACATAAGATGCTGACAGACAGGTATATTCAGTCGTCCATCACTTATACTTACTGATCGGGCACATTTTTTGGGGGGACTGCTAGAAAGTCCATCCAGTTGCCCATGTTCACCCAAAAACCCTGTTACTTGGTCCAAGAAAGAAGATACATCTAATTGGTGCCACTCTACTAGCTTCTGACCTAAAAATTGAAAAAAAAAAAAATCAAGACATGTAAATATAAAATCAATAATTCTTTTAACCATACTCATTAAATAATTGCCATATGAATAGTGAACATTTGTGACAAATTCATATCCCCATCCCTTAGTTGCTGAAGTCACAGAGTATCATCATAACTTACCAAACATCAATTATAACTCATTGATAGAATCCATCATGACAGGAAAATTATCTTATTTGCTGGCACCACTTACAGCAATTTAGGAAGAAGAAGTTCAAACAAAGAAAAATTTAAATAAAATATAATTAATAATGAAACCAGCTCACCCTCTAGTGCTCTAGAGGAAAATAACCAAAACTTAAAATCTTAAGATTTTAATATAATAGAAAACCTAGGGAGACCCTTATAAAGAGATAATCCTATCAGTTTTCCTCAAAAAGAGCAGAACTGTACAAACACAAAATACTGTTTCCCCTCAAGTTGCCAGAAATAGACTCCCAAAATACACACATTCAAGGATATTTACATAATTATGGAATAAACAGAAAAACTTTCCTTAACTGTTACATTGCTAAAACCAGACCCAATCAAATATTAATCAACTATTTAGGTATGTGAAAAATAAATGATAGTTTAAAGGTTGTAATTGGATGTAACTTACCTGTCCGTGGGTCCAAGATGGAAACATAGGGGAAATCCCCTAGTTTATAAAACTGTATGTATCTCTGACCTTCCTCACTGTCATGATAAACCTGTTAAGTCAGTAGTATAAAAAGCAATGTTACCCACTAACAGCAATGGATTCCCCATATGAGTCTTTGAAAAACATGCTTGGTTTTCATTCCCATGTGAAAAGGGAAGTAAGATCAGGTATAGACTTACTCCCAGTCCCTTCTAAAAACTCATTATGAGCAACAAACCTATTCCTCCTCCTTCCTCACTTCAAAAGAGGTACTTTTTCTTTTCAAGTATCTGTCCACCTATGAGTTTTCTGTTTGTTTGGTTTGGTTTATTTTGGGGACAGCTCTGACTGTCCTGGAGTTCACCATGTAGACCAGGTTGTCCTTGAACTTACAGAGAAAAGCATTCGTCATTATGCCTGGCATAGAAAATGTACTTTAATAAATCACAATATAGGGGCTGGAGAAATGGCTCAGCAGTTAAGAGCACTGACTGCTCTTCCAGAGGACCCGGGTTCAATTCCCAGCACCCACATGGCAGCTCACAACCGTCTGAAAATCCAGTTCCAGAGGACCTGATACCTTCACACCAATGCACATAAAATAAAAAGATAAATAAATCATAAAAATTAAAAATAAATAAATCACAATATATTAAGATTATAAATTTGAAAACCCAACATTTTATTAGGCAGAAATGCTCAGTCAATATTTGAATAAAATAAAAGAAATTCTGTCATTAAAAACAATCACAGAGCTAGGTGATCATGGCACACACCTTTAACCTCAGCAGCACTCAGAAGGTGGAAGCAGGTGGATCTCTGTGAATTCAAAGCCAGCCTGGTCGATAGAGTGAGTTCCAGGACAGTCAGGGTGACACAGAGAAATCCTGTCTCGAAAAAACCAAAAACCAAACCAAAACAAACCAAAACAAAAACTCAAAAAAACACCAATCTCAGAGGCCAAGATGACTCAACAGGTAAAAGTGTTTCAGCACAAGTTTGACAACCTGAGTTTGATCCCCAGAACCCATAATGGAAGGAAACAACCAATTTCCAAAATTTATCCGCAGTCCTCCACACCACACAGCCATACAGTATACACACACAAACTTATAATAACAATAGTTAAAAAACCAGAAATCCCACTTTATCAGACTGTAAAATACAAACAGGTAAATTAATAGCATCAGTAGTAATATATCTTAGAAAAGGAAAATATTATGTTTACTCTGTTATTTTCTGTAACTTTTAAAAACTAGAAATTGAAACTGGGCCTACCTAGGCTATAATCCTCAGCTACTCAGGTGACTGAGGTCAGAGGATCACAAGTTTAAGGCCTACTTGGAGTGGTTTCAAAAGCTAAAAAGAAGTGGACTCTAGTGGTGCACATCTTTAATCCCAGCACTCAGGAGGCAAAGGCAGCTTGATCTCTGAGTTCAAAGTAAGCCTGGTCTATAGAGTGAGTTCCAGGATAGCCAGGACTATAGAGAAACCACATCTGGAAAAAACAAACAACAAAAGAACTAAAAAGGAGGGTGGAGATTAGCTTAATGATGGAGCACTTGCCTAGCTTGCAAGAGGACCCAGGTTGAATCCCCAGCAGTAAGCCTCTTCTAAACAAACAAACAAACAAACGAAAAACTCCAACCAAACAAGAAGAGTAAAACAAAAGGGAAGTTAGAGGTAAGCTACCTAGTTTAACTTAACTAGATAATTTATGCAAAAAGATATTACATCTGAACACAGAGGAATATTAAGCTAAGAAAGCACAGTAAAAGAGTAACAAACTCAAGCTAAAACACAACTTTTTAAATGTTTCTCCAAAGTTCTAAAATATTTCCACATGGCCATTTGTCTTGTATGGATATGAAATAGTGGAAATTGACTAATTCCATGCACTAAGCATGAATTACATACCATATATTGAGAATTTAACACCCACAGAGCATGACATTAAAATGTTAATGTTATATATAAATATATATAATCTATTGATTTAAAGAATATTAATTTCACCTGTTTCCTTTGAACCTTTTCAGTTGGTATTTCTGGAAAAATGTAAACTGTGTGGGCTTTTACTGTTCTTCTACTGAACTGTACAGCTGTAGATTGATCGTCAAGATGCTACTAAGCATGAGCATCACATATTTAACCATTACAGGTAACTTATGTCATAAATGAATTCACTTTTCCCTGTTTGTAACACCATTCCTCCTCCACAACATCCTAGACTACAAAAAATATTACAAAATTTCTAATTAACTATCCTTCTCACCTGCCAGAAAATAAAATGTTCCCGGATAATATTCTTCACAGCTTCATTGCTCCACACATCACGGTTGAGGCACTGGCATGCAAAGTCTTGTACATTTTGAATGTTTATCATCAGCCACTTATTCTGCATCTGGCCACACTCTTTGGCCTGTAAAAGTAAAGTTAAACATTGATTAAAAAAAAAAATAGTTTCTAGCCAAGCAGTGGTGGCGCTCACCTTTAATCCCAGCACTTGAGCGGCAGAGGCAGGAGGATCACTGAGTTTGAGGTCAGTCTGGTGTACAGAGACAGTTGCAAGACAGCCAGGGCAGAAAATTTAGAAGTGTCATTCCTGATAGAGTGACCATGCTCCAGTGGATGCTCCATGCACCCCTGGACCATTCTATGTAAGGGTAGCACAAATTGGTCTTGATGGTTTTAGACAAGGCAGGGACAGAGGCTACAAAGTTGAGAGGGAGTACCCAGGTGGGAAATGTGAAGCTGGGAGGAGTTAGGGGAATAGGGAATGAGTATGATTAAAATACACTGTAACAAATCCTATCAGGGTGTGGGTGGTTCACACCTTGTTGTAAACTGGGTAGCTGCACTGAGTAGACAGAGGCAGGTGAAGTTCTGGGTCAGAGCTCCAGGAAAGCAAGGGCTATACAGAGAGACCCTGTCTCAAACTCTGTTGCCAAAATAAGAAAGAAAAAATAAATTATCAAATAATTAATAAGTAAAATGATATCTAGAGGCTGGAGATATGGGCTAGAAGATAAAAGTACTTGACACTCTTGCAGAGGAATGGAGTTTGGTTCCCAGCACCTATCCCCAGTGGGTCACATCTCCAGAGGATCTGATGCCCTCTTCTGGTCTCTGGGGACAACTTCATGCACATGCATATATATGCAGACAAATAACAAATCTTTAAATGACATATAGTTTTTTCATTTACCATTATTATTTTGCATATACATAATCCTGTGACAGCTATCAAGTTGAGTGAATTAGGAGAAATCAGAACTGGTGAAATTGCACTTTAGAGAACACAGACCTTTAGGACTGGGAAGAAAGGCCCACCCAGAAGTTGGCTGGCACCAGCCACTGAGTGAATGAAAACTGGAGGAAGTAAGTGTGTACATCCCTGTAAGTCCCTTTCTTTCTCAGTGTACACATTTGGCCATTGTCATCATCAGACTTCAGCTCTCCAGGGAGTTTCTAGGCCTTCAACACCAGATAGAAAGGCTGAAGCAACCTACTTCCTGGATTGAGCAGCTCAAGTACACAGACAGTCACTGTTGAACTATCTGCCAGTGGATATCATTAAGTCAACCTAGTAAATTCCTTATTTTAAATTTTTTTCTGTAATACTATGCACAATAGTCTTGATTTTGTTCCTTTAGAAAACTTCAGTAAGTATAAAGAGAAAGGGAGATACTGGCATGGAGCTAACTGTTGGAACCCCACATTCAACAGTCTTACCAGCCAGCAAATCCTCTCTGGAAATACCAAGTATCTTGAAAATGTGATAGTTTTGTTTTATTTACTTGTTTGTTTTTAAAGGTTTGTTTATTTTTATGTGTTTGAATGCATGTTTATGAGTTTATGTACATGCCTGCTATCTGTGGAGACCAGAAGAAGGTATTGGATCCCCTAGAACTGCAGTTGTAAGTCACCATGTGGGTGCTGGAAAATAAATCTGGATCCGCTGCAGGAGCAGCTAATGCTCTTAACTGCTAAGTCATCTAAGTCATCTCTCCAGTTCCTACTGCTGTTTTCTCAATGACAGTCATTACCACTGTGGTGAGAAGGGAACATATTCCCCTAGCTCTGCTTAAAAGTTAACAATCAAGTAAACCTGCCCCAGGAAGTTTTCCTTTAGGTTTAGAAAAGATAAAGCTAGGAAGAACTGGGGAAAGAATATATTTTGTAATTAGATCCGGACATATTTCTAATATATGTTAGTACTTCTAATATATATTCAGTATTTATCTGAAACTGCTGTGGGAGCACATTCCATTCCTTCAGCCAATAGCCTTTAAGATACCAGCCCACTTGGGCATGGTCTCTTATACTGTAAAAGCAGCTGTAAAGTATGTGCCCCACACTTTTGTTTCTGGCTGCTAGACTCTGTTTGTGTTCAGTCAGAGGACTGTTATCTAGGACAGTAATCTGTAAGTTTCTCCTTAAATAAATAACCCTTTTAGTATTCATAATTCTGAACTGGTGTGGGATTATTTTTCTGACTTCTGTCATCATGAAACCACAAATAACAAAAAATATACACGGGCCGGAGAGATGGCTCAGTGGTTAAGAGCATTGCCTGCTCTTCCAAAGGTCCTGAGTTCAATTCCCGGCAACCACATGGTGGCTCACAACCATCTGTAATGAGGTTTGGTGCCCTCTTCTGGCCTGAAGACATACACACAGACAGGATATTGTCATAATAAATAAAATAAATATTTTTTAAAAAAAAAAGGGCTGGAGAGATGGCTCAGAGGTTAAGAGCATTGCCTGCTCTTCCAAAGGTCCTGAGTTCAATTCCCAGCAACCACATGGTGGCTCACAACCATCTGTAATGAGGTCTGGTGCCCTCTTCTGGCCTTCAGGCATACATGCAGACTGAATATTGTATACATAATAAATAAATATTTAAAAAAAATACACAAATTTAATGTATTCTCCATTCTAACTAAGCACTGGCACATGGAGACCAAACTTTTACAATGTCGAATATGACAGGAAAAGTAGTTCAAAATTCTTTTGAAGAAGTCCCTTCTTCACAATTTCATGAATAATTTATTTTTACTATAAACCAAGAATTATCACCCTTTTAATTATAGTAAACACTTTATAATTTGCCTATGATATACCCAATTATCAACATCACTAGTTAAATTTTGGGTTACAATTAAGTTATTTAAGCACAAGCATTAAGTTATTACAAACTGAAGCTGGAAGGTGATGGCACACACCTTTAATCTCAGTACTTGGGAGGCAGAGGCAGGTGGATCTCTGTGAGTTCAAGGTCAGCCTGCTCTATAAGAGTTTGTTCCAGAACAGGCTCCAAAGCTACAGAGAAACCCTGTCTGGAAAAAACAAACCAACCAAACAAACAAACAAAGATATTACAAATTGAGTTGGGTGTGGTGGTGCATACCTTTAATCTCATAAACAGGTGGCTCTCTGAGTTCAAGGCCAGTCTGGTCTAAGAGCTACATAGTAAGACCCTGCCTCAAAAATGAAAGAACTATGCCTTTAATTCCAGTACTTGGGAGGAAGAGGCAAGCAAATTCTCTGTAAGTTCAAGGCCAACTTGGCTCCAAAGTTACACAAAACACCAAAACAAAAAACAAACAACAAACAAACCACCCAACACTCCCCCCACCAAAAAAACACAAATAAATAAAATGAAGCTATTATAAATTGAGCAATTTTTTGTTTTTGTTTTTCCAAGACAGGGTTTCTTCTCTGGGTAGCCACAGGTGTCCTAGAACTCAATCTGAAGATCAGGCTAGTCTTGAATTTAGAGATACCCCTTGATGCGGGAGAATTATCTGTATTCTGTCAATCATGTATTTTAATAAAACGCTGATTGGCCAGGCAGGAAGTATAGGCGGGTCAACCAGACAGGAAGTAGAGGCGGAGTAATGAGAATAGGATAAGGCTAGGGAGGAGAAAGGTTCCTCAGCCACTCCTGTGCAGACCACGGAAGAGGCAGCATGTAACTTGCCCAGCTGAGAAAGGTATGGAGCCATTATGGCTAACATAGATGAGAATAATGGGTTAATATAAGTTATAAGAGTTAACAAGAAGCGTGACCAAATGAGCCAATCAGTTTATAACCTGATGTAGACTCCATGTGATTTTCCTTGGGACTTGCTGGCTTGTTGGGGTACTGGGCAGGACAGAAACCCCAACAAGCTGGCCCTCACGTTACAACCCCTGCCTTGGTTTCCCTAGTGCTAGGCATGCACCGCTACCACCCCAGCAGGTTGATCAATTTATATTACCCAGATCAGCTAACTAAATGATAAACAGGTAGGTAACAGATATTATATAGATACATTGTCCTTAGTAGATGTCAAGATTTCATCACACTACTTAGAACAATGCATAACTTAAAGCATAACAATTTTCAGCCAGGTGGTGCACATGTTTAATCCTAGCACCCGGGAGGTAGAGGCAGGTGATCTCTCTGAGTTCGAGGCCAGCCTGGTCTACAGAGTGAGTTCCAGGACAGGCTCCAAAGCAAACAGAGAAAACCTGTCTCAAAAACAAAACAAAACAAAAAAAAATCAAACAAACAACAACAAAACACCATAGCAACTTTTATTTCTGAAACTTTCCATTTAATATTTTGAGATTTCATGTAAATTAAACCTAATCGAAACTACAGATAAGGGGGAGACTACAATATAAGCAAAAGAAAAACACAAACAATTTATAAATGGTTAATAAACATTACACTGCATACCTAGCAATAGTAAAAGATACATACATTTACAAAACTAAGTTTTTAAAAAAGAAGCTTTCAAAGTGGTAGAGGTTCTACAATGATGCCACACAAAGCTAATCAAAGGCCCTCAAAATAATCAACCTCATACACTGTTGTTAAAAATGTTAAGTCATTTATTGCCAGTAAAAATATAACCCAGTGTAACCCTTAAGCATATTATGCAGAAATAGTTAGGATACCAATTCTCTATATACTGAAAAATATAAAATTAAATTTAAAAGGCATGGTGGCACACAGAGAAAGTAGAGGCAGACCCATCTCTGATTTTGAGGACAGCATGGTCAATATAATATGTCCAGGTTACATGGTAGGACCCTGTCTCAAGAAAAAGGAAAGAGGAAAAAAAATACACTAAAATTGTAAACCAGTTCACAGCTTTAGTATACAATCTCCAAAAACTTACTGTTTCAAAGCTGCCTTTGTGCATCAAGTCGATTGGGGGCCGGAACAGATCTGCAAGGGTGGTTAGTTTCTTATCTATTGCTCCTCCATTTCTTAATTCCTGTTCTTGCCTAACTGCAATACAGAAGGATGGGAAAAGTTTTAATTAGTCATAAAATGAAAGTGTTAAATTCCATAATAAACAAAAGACCTTATATTGACTGAAAGAATTACTGAACAGTATGCTTAGCCTCAAATACAAAAAGCAAATAACTAAAAGAAAATACAAAGGGGGGCAAAAAAATATTCCAGGATTTTGTGTTGTTCCCTAGCCAAAGGATAAAAGTAGAATACTAAATTAGTTACAAATAGTCATGTTGGGCCAGGCCTGGTGGTGCAGGCTAACACAAGAAGTTCAGCCAGGTGTGGTAGCACTTGGCTTTAACCCCAGCACTCAAGGGGCACAGGCAGATTGCTATGAGTTCAAGGTTAGCCTGTTCTACAAAGTAAGTTCCAGGACAGTCAAGGTTGTTACACAGAGAAACCCTGTCTCAAAAAACAAAAAATCCTGAGCCACAGAGTGAGTTCAAGTCCAATCTGAACAACCTAGTAAGAGATTGTCTGTCTCACAGTAAGAAGGAAAGGCAGCTGGAGATCTAGCTCAGTACTTATCTAGTACACACAGGCACCCATTTAGTATCCACCACCATTTAAAACAAAACTGAATTCACCTTGATATGAGGATATACCTGAGGGGTGGAACGCTTGCTTGCCTAGAATATTCAAGACCCTGTTTGTTGCCAGCAAAATAATACACACACACACACACACAGACACACACCATCAAAGCAAACTCTTTCACATATTTATAAACAACACAGAAGAAAACTTTCAGAATCATTTCTCTAGTTTGATAATGACCCTAACACATCTATTGCAGCTAGCTCCCAGTTTTTAAATACTTGCAGTAGAAGTTATGGACACTGCTGTCCCCATTTACTAGAAAAACACAGATTCCTTTGATAACTTAAGCCTTCTCTTTCAACTTTTTCCAAAGTCACTGGACCTATCCTTGCCTTAAAGGGGCACAGATACAACACCAGATACAGACCAAGCATTTCTCATTATCTAAAAAACAACTGTCCTGGGACAGCTAGATGGTTCAGAAAGTCAGGGTACTTGCTGCCAAACCTGATGGCCTGAGTTCAATCCCCAGGACCCATGTGGTAGGAATTAACTCTAATAAGCTATTCTCTTGTTAGAGAACACACACATTATCATGGCCTACACACCACCCCCAACAAATAAATAAACGAACAAATTTGTCCTTTCTTTAGACTCTTAAAAGTATACTTCTGAGACACTTCCAAGATACTTCTGAGCTGAACCACAGAAAGGCATGAACTGTGCTGACTAGTTTTATGTCAACTTAACAAGGTAGAGTCATCAGAGGAAGGAGACTCAATTAAGAAAATGACTCTGTAACACTAAGCTGGCTACAGGCAAGCCTATAGGGCAGTGGTCCTCAGTCTTCCTAATGCTGTAACCCTTTAATACAGTTCTTCATGTTGTGGTGACCCCCAAGCCATAAAATTATTTTCATTGCTACTCCATAACTGTATTTGCTATTGTTACTAATTATAATGCAAATATCTGATATGCAGGATTCCTGATGTATGACCCCTCCCCCACTGCTGTAGTACATTTTCTTAATTAGTGATTGATGGGGGAGGGCCCAACCAATCGTGGGTGGTACCACCCCTAGGCTGGTATCCCTTGGTTCTACAAGAAAGCAGGCTAAGCAAGCCATGGGTAATCAAGTCAGTGAGCAGCACCCTTCCATGGCCTCTGCATCAGTTCCTTCCTCCAAGTTCCTTTCCTGTTTGAGTTCCTGTCCTGACACGAGCCAAATAAATCCTTTCCTCCCTGTGGGGACCCACAGTTGTGATCCTGCTTCACCACGACTGGAGGTCAGAGACTTTGAGCTTATTTTTGCTCTCTCAAAGTTGTTGACAACAAGTGTGGCTACAAATGAGAGATTCTGACCCAGGGTGTGGTCAACTAGCATTTTGGGTATAGAGCTGGAGCCACTCCATCTGGACCAAGGTCAGAGAATTCAAGTCTATTCCTTATATCATGTTAATCAAGTCTGTTGCCTCCTCCCTCCCCTTATGTTTCTCTCTTATTTCTCTTATATCTCTGTTTCTTTTATTTAATAATTCTATTCATGTTCTTACCCTGAACCATACAAGTTTTGTTGATGCTGGTCTTTGACACCTCCCTAAGTTGAAGATGGTCATGGTGTTTCATTACAGCAACAGTAACCCTAACTAGGACAGTATCTGTATATACATGTACATGTATGTATGTCATGGTACATATGCGGAGTCAAAGTACAACTTGCAGGAGTCAGTTTCTCTCTTTTTATCATGTGGATCCTAGAGATCAAACTAGCCAGTATCTTCACCCAACATTTTGATGTCATTATTATTTCACTTCTTAAACATGGTGAATCCTCAAAGTAATGAAGACAAATACTAAACATTCTTTTCTTTTTAACAGAAAGGAAGTGGAATGGAAAATAGCGCTGAGACTAGTTCACAAATACCTACTAGTTTCAGTTTGAAAATCTCGGAAACCATCAAATATTGAACGTGCAGGCCTTCGTCTTTTAGGGGCTGTAGAAGAAAAACAGAATTGGTAAAAAAAAAATTAAAACATTAATTTTGAAAATTCTAAAAATACTCCTTATTTATATAAGCATTCTTGTTTTATTTTTATGTGTATGTAATTTTTCCCTACAATGTAAGTTTGTGTAGCATGTGGCCAGAAGAGAGTGTCAGATGCCTTAAAGCTTGAGTTATAGACAGTTATAAGCCACTACATAGGTTCTGGGAACTGAACCTCTGTCCTTTCAAAAGAATCAGTCAATGTTTTTAACCACTGAGTCGTCTCTACAGCCCCATATGTATTTTTAAAATGTTCATATTTTTAATAATGCCCAAAAGTAAGGAAAAAATCAGAGCTAGAGAGATGGCTCAGCAATTAAGAGCACAAACAGCTCTTCCAGAGAATCTGAGTTCAATTCCCAGCACCCACACGGCAGCTCATAACTGTGTAACTCCAGTTCCTGGGGATCTGACATCCTCACACAGGCATACACGAAAGCAAGAACACCAATGTGCATAAAAATAAAAAATAAATTACTAAATTCCAGGACAGCCAGAGTTACACAGTGAAACCTGTCTTGAAAAACAAAACCAAAAAGAAAATAAAAAGGGAGCTGGGCAGTAGTGGCGCAAGCCTTTAATCCCAGAACTTGGGAAGCAGAGCAGGTGGATCCCTGTGAGTTCAAGGCCAGCCTGGTCTACAAGAGCTAGTGCCAGGACACACTCCAAAGGTACAGATGAAACCTTGTCTCGAAAAAAAAAAATCAGTAGCCCTTCTGTACACAGATGATAAAAGGGCTAGGGAAGAAATCAGAAAATCAACACCCTTCACAATAGCCACAAATAGCATAAAATATCTCAGAGTAACTCTAACCAAACAAGTGGAAGACTTGTATGACAAGAACTTTAAATCTTTGAAGAAAAAAATTGAAGAAGACACCAGAAAGTGGAAAGACCTCCCATGGTTTTGGGTAGGCAGAATTAATACAGTAAAAATGGCAATCATACCGAAAGCAATCTACAGATTTAACACAATGTCCAGCAAAATCCCAGCAAAATTCTTCAAAGACCTCAAAAGAACAGTACTCAACTTCATTTAGAAAAACAAAAAACCCAGGATAGCATCACAATCCCTGGCTTCAAGCTCTACTACAGAGCTATAGTACTGAAAACAGCCTGGTATTGGCATAAGAACAGACAGGAGGCTCAATGGAACTAAATAGAAGACTCGGACATCAATCCACACATTTTCGAACACCTGATCTTTGACAAAGAAGCAAAAAAATATCAAATGGAAAAGAGAAAGCATATTTAACAAGTGGTGCTGGCATAACTGGATATCAACATGTAAAAGAATGAAAATAGACCCATATCTATCACCATGCACAAAACTCAAGTCCAAATGGATCAAAGACCTCAACATAAAGCCAGTCACACTGAATCTTATAGAAGAGAAAATGAGAAGTACATGTGAACACATTGGCACGAGGAACCACTTCCTAAATAGAACACCAGCAGCACAGACACTGAGAGAAACAATTAATAAATAAGACCTCCTGAAACTGAAAAGCTTCTGTAAAGCAAAGGACACGGTCAACAAGACAAATCAACAGCCTACAGAATGGGAAAAGATTTTCACTAACCCCACATCAGACAGAGGTCTGATCTCCAAAATATACAAAGAACTCAAGAAATTGGACACCAAAACATCACATAATCCAATTAAAAAAAAATGGAATACAGACCTAAATAGAGAACTCTCAACAGAAAAATCTAAAATTGCTGAAAGCACTTAAGGAAATGTTCAGCATCCTTAGTCATCAAAGAAATGCAAATCAAAACAACTCTGAGATTCTATCTTACACCTGTAAGAATGGCCAAGATAAAAAAACACTGATGACAACTTATGCTGGAGAGCTTGTGGGGAAAAGGGAACACTTCTGCATTGTTGGTGGGAATGCAAGCTGCTACAGCCCCTTTGGATGCCAGTGTGGCGATTTCTCAGAAAATTAGGAAACAACCTTCCTCAAGACCCAATAATACCACTTTTGTGTATATATCCAAAGGATGCTCAATCATGCCACAAGGACATGTGCTCAACTATGTTCATAGCAGCTTTGTTTGTCATAGCCAGAACCTGGAAACAACCTAAATGCCCCTCTACCAAAGAATGGATAAGGAAATGTAGTACATTTACACAATGGAGTACTACACAGCAGAAAAAAATAATGACATCTTGAATTTTGCAGGTAAATGGATGGAGCTCATTATTTTGAGTGAGGCAGCCCAGACAAAGAAAGACAATTATCACATGTACTCACTCATAGGTGGTTTTTAAACATAAAGCAAAGAAAGCCAGCCTACAAACCACAATCCCAGAGAACTTAGACAACAATGCAGACACTAAGAGCGACTTACATAGATCTATTCTACATGGGAAGTAGAAAGTAGAAAAGACAAGATCTCCTGAGTAAATTGGGAGCATGGGGACCTTGGGGAAGGGTTGAGGTGGGGAGAGGCAGGGAGGGGAGCAGAGAAAAATCTTGTATATCAATATTGTATATCAATAAAAAAAGGGGGGGGGCTGAGAGATGGCTCAGAGGTTAAGAGCGCTGACTGTTCTTCCAAAGGTCCTGAGTTCAATTCCCAGCAACCATATGGTGGCTCACAACCATCTATAATAAGATCTGGTACCCTCTTCTGGTCTGCAGGGATACATGCAGACAGATTCTGTATACATAATTAATAAATAAATCTTTTAAAAAAAAAGAAAAAGAAATCTACTATGTTGTATGCAACAATTAGCCAAAATCATTTATTTGTTTCCAGTTCTGTGAAAGAGTAAGGTAGAGTTCAATCAATATCAATAAAAAAATTTAAAATAAAAAAATCTTTTAATTCAGTTTAAAGGATTAATCACTCTTTGACCTAGCGCAACACAAGTCAAGTCCTTTAGTGTGTGTGTGTGTGTGTGTGTGTGTTTGGTTTTTAGAGGGTTTTACAGGATTTCTCTCTGTAGCTCTGGCTGTCCTGGAACTTGCTCTGTGGACCATGTTGACATTGAACTCAGAGATCCACCTGCCTCTGAGTGCTGGGATTAAATAGTATGAGCCACCACTGCCTGGCTGCAAATTCTTTTCTTTGTAGAGAGGGTCTCACGTCATCACATACTTTTGATCCCAGTATTTCTAAGGCAGAAACAGGCATACTTCTGTGAGTTCAAAGTCAGAATGATCTAGAGCTACACAGTGAGATCATGTCTTAGGAGGGAAAAAATGCTAGGCAAGTGCTCTTCCTTCAGTCCTAGCCCTTATGTAAATCCTAAGCCCCAAGATTTAAGAATTCTGTCTTAGTGGATGCACACGTAGAATCATAAACACCAAAAAATACACTGTAAATTTCTAAAGTGTTCTCATGATTACACAGGACAAAGTTCTTCTACTGTCCTTCTAAAGAACCTATATTCCATTTTTATATATTTTACATAAGATTTAGAATTGATACTAATTAAATACTAATTGAAATGCTACTTTCTTCTTAGAAAAATGTTTTCAAACTTTATTACCCATACATATCATACTCATGGAGCTCTGTTGATGTTGTTTTGCCTTTTGAGACGGAGTCTGTTGTCCATACAGCTGTGGCTGACCTGTACCTCACTATATAAACCAGATTGACCACCAGATCAGTCTGTCTGAGAGCTGGGATGTAAAGGTATATACACCATGGCCAACTGAAAATGGATATGTTAAATAAATTTCTTTCAGTGTAACACTTTAAATTGACATATATGTATATATGCCAGGCTGTGGTGGCGAACACCTTTAATCCCAGCACTCTGGAGGCAGAGACAAGCAGATCTTGTAGGTTCAAGGCCAGGCTGGTCTATAGAGAGTTCCAGGACAGCCACAGCTACACAGAGAAACCCTGTCTTGAAAAACCAAAAAGAATCACTCAGTTAAAAGAAAAACAATTAAAATTACAAAATAGATAGCTCAGCGGTTAAAAGCAACTGCTGTTTTGTTCAGTTCCCAGGAAGTATCCACATGGGTTAGCTCACAACTATCTGTAACTCTAGCTCCAGGGAATTCAATTTCCTTTTGTGGTGGTTTGTGTACGTGACTGTGTGGGCACACATGTATGTATGCGTGCACATGAACACCCACACAAACACCACACACACCACAAATTAAAATTTTCAAAACCAAAACTTAGAAACTCAGGGCTAACAATAAAACTCAGTTGGTAGTGCTTGCCCAGCATGCATGAAGCCCTGGCTTCAATCCTGAGTACCTCATAGACCTAGAGTGGTGATATATGCTGGTAATCATAGCAGAAATTTAAAGTCATCTTTGATTACATGAGTTGAGTTCATTCATATAAGCACACAAGATCACCAATATTTATACTAAACTATCATAATTATAATGCCAGAAATAGTGCTACATGCCTGGAATCTCAGTAGGAATAGGAGACTGAAGGTCATAAAAGGCTACAAAGTAAGTTCATGACTGTACTACATAAGACTGTCTCATAAACAAAAGAATCACAATTACCTTCAGGAAGAGACTTTCTAAAATAATTAGTATTAAATTTTTAAATAGTTAGCCCAAATTTTAAAAAATTTAAACCTAATCTCTTTCATTCTGCTCTTCTTTCCGATTTAAAAAATAAAATTGAAGAATTGTGATTCTTTCCAATCTTCAAACTATTTTTAATTAATAGTGTCTATTTAAAATGTATGTTTGGAGCAGGAATTCTTTAGGTTCAGTGAGTGCCTTTGTTGTTGCTTTGGTTTTTTTTTTAAGATAGCCCTTGTACCTAGCCCAGGATAGCTTGGAGCTCAGAATCTACTACTACCTCGACCTTCTAAGTGCTAGAATTACAGTCGTGTACTACCATACCTGGCCCCCACACAATGTCTTCTGAAAACTAGTTAAGTGATAGGATTTTTAAACTTTTATTTTTTAATGTGTGTGCTTGCCACAGCCCATGTGTACAGATCAGAGGACAACTTTCAGGAGTTGGTCCTCTCCTTCAACCAGGGGTTCCAGAGATGGAACTCAGGTCATCGGTGCACAGCAAGCACTTTTATACAACCCTTCTGACAGTTTATAACCTAACAATTGACAAAGCAAGTATGTTATACGACAAGACACAGAATACCAGTGTAATGTGGGATTTTCTATTTCCAATCCACCAAGAGCAACCAGCTGATAGGCCAGCATATTTTACCTCTCTTTCATTCTTTTGGGAGGCACCAGGTCACCTTGGGGCTTTTACTACTACTTTATATCACTAGCCCTCTACCCACCTCCTATTATTTTTTGGGCTCATCACCTGGTATTTGCTCCCCCCTCATTTATCATACCTTCACTAAGAGCCTCTCTTAAAGCTACAACACCTCTCGCCCTGCGACCTTTTTTCCAAGTGCCCTCTCATTCTTGCAAACTAGCTACCACAAGCAAGCACCATTCTTCTGTCTGTAATCATCTTTCTGTTTACTCAGTAGGCATGTTATTCATTAAGGCCAAAAAGACTAAGCTACAAAAAGTTAACAGAAATCCATACACACAGGACAGCCCTAGGGGAATACAAGGACTAGCAGATAAAACCAATTTAGTAAGGAGAGCAACACTGTTTTCATATTTTCATAAATCTCTGCTAATATCTAGCTTAAGAGAAAAACTGGAACTTTCATACCATCTGCATAATTTAAAATCTATTGCTTTATTTAAATTCAAGTATAAAAAGAATGTTAAAATCCAGCCCCACACAGAAATACAGTAGTAAAGAAATAGTATTTTAGGGGGGGAGTGGGAGGGCGTTGGGAGGAGGGGCGTAAATGGAAACTTTTTATAATTTAATAAAATTACTTTCAAAAAAAAGTAAAAATGAAAAAAATAGAAATAGTATTTTAGATAAATATGAATATTTTTTGATACCACACCAAAAATTAAGTAGCGGTGATTCCTTAAAGATTTGTGCTAAACTGGGGTTGTGAAAGTTGGTTAAACAGTTAAGAAGAATACACTACTCTTCCAAAGGGTCTGAGTTTAGTTACCAGCACCCAATCAACTGGTGCACAACTACTTCTAACTCCAGATCCAGGGAATCTAATGACCTCTTCTGGCCTCCTTGGACAGGCATGGACAGGCATATACACACTCCTACCTGTAATGCCAGCTCCAGATAAATGTGAGCATGCACACACACACACAGACACACACACAGAAAGAGACAGAGACAGAGCCTGTAATACCAGCTCCAAGATATCCCATTTTCTCTCCTGGCCTCCATGGGTAACTGCACTGACACATATGTGTACACACACATATACAAACTAAAAATTAAAAAAAAAATAAATCTTGAGCTGGACAGTGAGTACACATCTTTAATCCTAGCACTCAAAAGGCAGAGACAGGTGGATCTCTGAGTTCAAAACCAGCATGGTTCACAGAGTAAAAAATAAATGAATGAAATGAATAAATAAATAAGAAAATGATAGATCTTTTTAAAACGGGTTGTGCAAGCTAAAATCTAATCAACTCTACATTCTGTCTCAATAAAATTTGTTGTTCTGAGTTGCAGGCAGTCTCAAGAGACTTTGGCCTTTCTTTTACTTGCTTTGTATTGAGGATATAGCATCTCTATTCAACAGCTTTGAAGGAAATCCTTTTTCCTATGATTTGGGTGTCATCTCAAAGCTCTTTGTGATAATGGCCTGGTTCCCACCACAGCACTATGAGCACTATGTGAACCTTTGAGAAGTGGGACCTAACAGAGAAGCTTTGGTCACTTTGGGCTGTGCTCTTGATGGGAGCATGAGACCCTGGTCTCTTTTATTACTGTTTCTGTTTCTCAGCTGCCAAGAACTGAGTAACTTCTACCATATGTGTTCACTATAATGTATACTACCTTGCCACAAGCAAAGGGACTAACTGAAACCTTCAAAAGTAAACTAAAATAGTGCCCTCTTTTCAAGACAACTAACTCAAACATCGTATTACTATAACATGAAGCTGTCTAACACATTGCCATCTCTCAGTATGCACAACCTGTAGGTGACTATCCAGGATAGGATGACATCTTACCAGCAAAAGCGCTTACTATGCAGACCTGAGTAGTTAAGTCTGGATCCCCAGGACCAAGGTAAAATGCACAATGGGCTCGGAAACTATAGTGGTCTGAAAGAAAATGGCCCCTAAATGAACAGCACTATTAGGAGGTGCAGTCTTGTTAGAGGAAGTGTGTCACTGTGGAGGCAAACCACTTCCTGCTGCCTCACAAGATGTCGAATTCTCAGCTACCTCTCTACCACCATATCTACCTTCATACCACCATGCTTAATACCATGACAATAATGACTAAACCTCTGAACTGTAAGCCAGCCCCAATTAAATGTTTTCTTTATAAGAGTTGCTGTGGTCATGGTGTCTCTTCACAGCAATAGAAACCCTAAAACAACAACCCACCTGTAATCCCAGCCTTGGAAGATGTTGTATAAATTTCCTTAGAGATTAAAGCAGTCTATCCTGCAGGAAGCTCCTTAAGTAGGAAAGTAAACATCTCAAAACAGCTTCAGGAAGTCCCTGAAACTTACCAGATTCAATAGGCCGCTTCTTGAAAAAGTTAGCAATAAAAGCTAAGCTACAAAGAAGACTCTTGGATCAGACCAACTGCCTGGAAGAAACAGAAACTAGCTGAGCTGCCTGGAAGAGGGTTAGATCAACTTAGAAAGGACACTCTCCAACCTGTACAGTGTGCTCCAGATTCCCGCTAGGTGGGCTTTGGTGATACAGATGTCTTTGTGACCCCTCACCCATATTCCTGTAAGTAACCCCAATTAAACTCATTAGTTCAACAAGTTGGACTTTGATGGCATTGATACTTGGTCTGTAATGGGATCCCTATCTGAGGTGAGTTGATGTGAGTGTGTTGCCTCTCCCAGGAAAAGTTTTGTCACACAACACAATGCAAAGATGGGATCCCCAGCACAAGCTGGACAGAAAAACCAACCATATCAGAGTGCTCTGGGTTTGACTCAGAAACCCTGCCTCAATGAATAAGGTAGAAGAGCAACTAAGGATGATTACAACCTCTGGCCTTCATATGCATGCACATGTACACACAATGTACTTTATAATTTACACCATCTCTAGATTACTTACTATACCTAATGTAATATAAATGCTTTCTAAATGATTGTTTTGCTGTTTAGGGAATACTGACAAGAAAAAAGTCTATGTTCAATACAGATGGAATTTTTGTAATGCTAGGGATTAAACCTAATGCCTCACACATGCTAGGCAAGCGCTCTACTTAGGAAGGAAGTATTGACACTTAATGGATAACTTTAAAAAAAAAAAGATTTGTTAATTATATAGCATTCTGCCTATATGTATCCCAACAGGCCAGAAAAGGGCACCAGATCTTATTACAGATGTTTGTGAACCGCCCTGTGGTTGCTGAGAATTGAACTCAGGACCTCTGGAAGAACAGTCAGTGTTCTTAACATTGGAGTCATCACCCCAGCACATGGATAACTTTTTAATCCTTTAAAAAAATTAAAGCAGGCCGGGCAGTGCTGGCACATGCCTTTAATCCCAGCACTTGGGAGGCAGAGGCAGGTGGATCTCTGAGAGTTTGAGGTCAGCCTGGTTAACAAGAGCTAGTTCCAGTACAGGCTCCAAAGCCACAGAGAAATCTTGTCTCAAAAAACAAAAAACAAAACAACAACAAAATTAACGCCCCTTCTTGCCTGGTATAGTGGCACACATCTTTAATCCCAGAATTCAAAAGACAGAGGCAAGAGGATCTCTGTGAATTTAAGAGTATAACAAGCTCCAGACTAGCCAAGGACACACAGGAGACCCTGTCTCAAATAAGTAAATAAATAAAATTTTAAAAAATTATTTCTTTTCGAGGCCAGCCTGGTCTACAAGAGCTAGTTCCAGGGCAGGCCCCAAAGCTACAGAGAAACCATGTAAAAAATTATTTCTTTTTCCTACCCTAGTTTTCTACAAAACTTAAAACAGGTATCTTATTTTCATGTTTCAAACCATCTCTATACTAGTGTTCTCAATACAATATACATTTCACCATCTGTTTGCCCTACCACAATAAGATTCATCTTCTACTTTTTAAGTAATACCTAAAAATATTTGCCTCATAAAAGGAAGCAGGCACTCATTAGACTATTACTGTTCTTTAAAACGTATTAAATATCCCATACTTTAATATGTTCTGAATTCACCCAATTTTTTTTAACAATTTTTTTTTCTTTTTGACATGGAATAAAGACTATTTTTCTCCTTTATCCAAAACAAGAGCAGCATTTGAAGATATTAAAATGAGAGCAGGCAAGGGATATAAAACAATAAAGAACAATAAGTCAAATGTATATTGAGCTATCAGTAATATATACATTTAGAAGAAGACACAACATAAAATTAAAGATTCTTTTTAATATAATAACACTGATTTCCATGGCATGCAGCAATTCCAAAGGGAGTGCATGTTGGGGTCAGGGGAGAGAGCCAGGCACGGTAGCACACAAGTTTAATCCTGGAATTTGGAATGTAGAGCATAGAGCAGGCAGTCTCTGAGATCCAGACCAGCAAAGGCTATAGTTACACCCTCCCTTACAATAAAAGATAGCAATTCTTTTTGGTAAATTTCCTCCTTACTGTTATTATTCTCTGTTAAGGAATGCAGTTTACCTGGGGAAGAATATAGAAATATAAGATAGGAATTGATTCTCTAAATTACAAAATAATCTCTGAGTAAGCCCTCATATCTTCAGTTCGTGTATTAAAATCCCAGACAATAACAAAATCAAATAAAATTAAGCAAATAAAGTGAACTTACCACCAAACAAAGGTTCTGGCTCCACCAATATTTCTTGTTTTTGAGGAATTGGGGCACGAACTTCTTCTCTGTTAAAAATAAAGTGTGAATATATCAAAATAAAAACTGTGACACCTATTTTCCTTCTAAATTGTGAATGTATTCAAATTATCAAGTGAAACAAACATGATTTTTTAAGAAACTACAGTAATCAGAAAAAGAAGTTGTAAATGATTTCTAGACAGAGATTAACTAGAATAAAATATCTAGCACAGAAAGCTAAAATGGGTTTACAAAGAAGAATGTAGAAAGAAAAAAGAAAAAAGATCTCTTTCCATCTCAGGTCCCTTAGACATTTATTTTTAAGATTACTATTATTTAGCCGGGTGGTGGAGACGCACACCTTTAATATCAGCACTCAGGAGGCAGAGGTAGGAGGATCTCTGTGAGTTTCAAGCCCAGCCTGATCTACAAGAGCTAGTTCCAGGACAGGCTCCAAAGCTACAGAGAAACCCTATCTTGAAAAAAATCAAAAACCAAAAACAAAAAAAGATTACTATTACTTAATTATGGGGGATAAGGGAGATACATGCATAGTTGAGACCTCAGAATCCCCTGAGCTGCAATTACAGGTGGTTGCAAGCAGCCCAACATGGATGCTAGAAAGGGAACTTGAGACCTCTCTAAGAGCAGTATATGCTCATAACCACTAAGCCATCTGCCCATCTCAACCTAACAAGGTCTTACTATGCAGCCCTGTTGGCATGAAACTCAGAGATCCACCTGCCCTTGCCTCCCGGGTGCTGGGATTAAAGCTTGTTCCAGACTACATCCAGCTGCAGTTATTATTTTGGCCTTTCTGCCCCACCCCTACTCCTAACTAAGATCTGAACCCAGGCCCTTGTACTTGTGTGGCAATTTGTCTACCAATGAGTTAAATCCCCAACCCCCAACCCTCCCTGAATTCTTTTCTTTTAAAGATTTTATTTTTAGCTTAATTATGTATGTGGGAGTATGTGCATGTGAATGTAGAGCCCACAGAGGCCATAGGTGTCAGATTCCTCTGTAACTGGAGTTACAGGCTCTTAAAACTGTGAAACTGCATCTCCAGCACCCAGCCTCCCAAAATTCTTAGAGATAAGGAATTTATCAAAAAGGAAAAAACAGTCAAGTAAAAAATGACTGGAAAATAGAGGCTTACTACAATCAATATAATTAATGCCGTAACACATAATAATTAAAAGAATATATTAAAGTAAGCTTCAACAAATAGGCACTAAATTTTTTTATGCTATGAAGGAAGATTCTACCATAATTAAAATATAAGTATTTACTCAACAGATCCTATTATACAGAAGAGGAATCTTCTATATAAAATATATAAGCAAATATATAACAATGTATAATAAACATGATTTTTTTTTTCTTTTTTGGCTTTTGTTCGAGACAGGGTTTCACTGTGTAACAACCTAGGTTGTCCTGGAACTAGCTCTATAGACCAGGGTGGCCTTGAACTTAAGAGATCCGCCTTCCTCTGCTTCCTGAGTGCTGGGATTAAAGGCATGTGCCACCACCAGCACCACTATCCAGCAAAATTTCATTTTCTATGTGTATGAATGCTTGCCTCAGTGTCTTCACACCTTGTGAATGCATGCCCTGGGACTGGAATTCAGACAATTGTGAGCTGCCATGGAGTGCTAGGCATTTGGTCCTCTACAAAAGCAACCAGTGCTCCTACCATCAACCCATCTCTCCAGCACCAATAATTACACATCCTTTAAAAGGCGATTCTGGAGCTAGGGAAATGGCTCAGTGGGTAAACATGCCCACCCTTATGTCTGCTGAGCTGAACTGTATTCCAATGCACAAGATAGAAGGAGAAAGTAGACTTTCAAAATTTGTACTCTAACCTCCACACATGCCAAGATGTGCATATCCATACACATACATAGAGAGATAAATATCATAATAAAATTTAAATAAATTAATTAAATTAAAGTCTGCTTTCAGCAAGAGATAGAGCTCAGCAGTAGAACACATGCCTGTCCTGTATTTGATCCCCAGCACTGGAAATAAAAGAAAAAACAAAAAACATTCTTTTCAAAGTTTATCTTCATAGACTCAACATAATTACTCACTAATAACTCAGTAAAAAAATATTCGTTTTTATAAACTTTATTTTTTTTCTAGGAAGTTGAAACCTAAATCATTTTGATAAATGGTTTATACTAGGGCTGATAATTCAGTGGTTAAGAGCATTAGCTGTTCTTCCAGAGAACCCCAGGTTTGATTTCCAGCACTGATATGGCGGCTCATGTAACTCCATTCCCAAGGGATCCAACACCCTATTGTGGCCTCCATGGCACCAGGCTGTGGGGTAAAGAGAACACTCCGGCATTGCTGGTGCGAGTGTAAGCTGGTACAGCCCGTTTGGATATCAGTGTGGTGATTTCTCAGAAAATTAGGAAACAACCTTCCTCAAGACCTAGTAATACCACTTTTAGGTATATCTCCGAAGGATGCTCAACCGTGACACAAGGACATGTGCTCAACGATGTTCAAAGCCTGAACCTGGAAACAACCTAAATGCCCTTTGACCAAAGAATGGATAAGGAAAATGTGATACATTTACACAATGGAGTACTACACAGCAGAAAAAAATGACATCTTGAAATTTGCAGGCAAATGGGTAGAGCTAGAAAACACCATTTTGATTGAGGTACCCCAGACCCAGAAAGACAATTATAATATGTACTCACTCATAAGTGGTTTTTAAACATAAAGAAAACCAGCCTACAAATCACAATCCCAGAGAACCTAGACAACAATGAGGACCCTAAGAGAGATCTACAAGGATCTAATCTACACAAGAGGTAGAAAAAGACAAGATCTCCTGAGTAAATTGGGAGCATGGGGACCTTGGGAGAGGGTTAAAGGAGAGGGTTAAAGGGAGGAAAGCAGAGAAAAATGTAGAGCTCAATAAAAATCAATAAAATCAATAAATCAATAGAATGATGTCGCATGCTTTTAGTCCCAGCACTTGAGAGGCAGAGACAGGTGGATCTCTGTAAGTTCAAGGTGAGCTTGGTCTACAGAGTAAGTTCCAAAACAGTGAAAGATATGAAAAGAGACCCTGTCTCAAAATACCAAAAAAATAAAAAATAAATAGCATGCTACCTTTAAAATCAGTTTATTTAAAGTTATAACCAAATATTAAAAGTGCTTAATATTTTTAGGCTCAAATGTCATAGAAAATAGCAGTAACTTTAAAGAATTTTATGCATATAAACAAGCAAGATGACTCACTGGATAAAGGCTCTTGTCTCCAAGGCCTGACCAACTTATTGGATCCCTAGAACAACATTTGGAAGGAGAGAACTAACTGTCTCAAGTTGTCCTCTGACCTGCCCATAAGTCATATGGCAACCCACATACCCAAACACATACATAGGGGGAGACAAAGAATTATAAACATATGAAGATCAGTTTAAATTAGTCCTAATGATTTCTATCATGTGTTCTCATGTCCTGCAAAACCCCTTGCCCACCACACACACACTTTATTGGAGCCCATTTCTGAGCCAGGCTCTAACTAGGCTGGCTTCAAACTTCAATTCTCATAACTGAACTAGGGTTGCACTGGGCATGTTGATGCATGCCTTTAATCCTAGAACTACAGAGGCAAAGACAGATGAGTTTGAGGCCAGTCTGACCTACATAAGACCCTGACTCAAAAAAGAAAAACAAAATACCTCAAAGGATATGGGAATTACAAATGTGCCATCAACTCTAACAAGGCCCTAGTTTTTCAATATCTAACAATTGGAATTTCAAAATCCAACACTTGGAATTCAAAGACATACTTTATATTTAAAGAAAAAAACTATGAATATTAATTTGTCAGTGAACACTAATACTATAATTTAAAAACCACCAGTTAGACAAATCTATAATAAGAAAAATGATTGAAAAATAATTCAAGATTATATCCAGTATTCTTTCCTACTTTTTGTTTTTAAGTTTTACTACATAACCTAGGCTGGCCTCAAACTTGAGATTCCCATCTCAACGTTCCAAGTGCTGGATTAAGCACTGGTGGTTCAGTGGTAGGCGTCTCACCTGCCATGTGCTGGGTTACAGAAATGTGCCACCATACCCAGCTGCTCTTTCCTACTGAACACAGGTCACTGCTCATATGCAGAATTTCAATAACCTGAAGGAAAAATATATCTGTAGAAGGAAGTTTAGTAAATACTTTAATCAAAAAGAAACAAGCCAGTTGGTTTTGGTGACCCATGTCTATAGTACTAACTACTTTGAAGGCTGAAGTAGGCAGTCATGTGAGTCCGAGAGTCCAGCTGGGGACAACAAAGGAAGACTCCATTTCAGGGAGAGTAAGAAGGTGAGGAGGGGGAGTAAGAAAGGGCCCCTTAAGAACTTTTAAAAGCATTAACAATAAAATTTTTTTTGAAATATGTAATTGGAGACTTCTCTTACGTTTCCTGGTCACCCAGACCTGAATAATCACACAGATACTATATAAATTACAACATTGTTTAGCCAATAACTCAGGCATATTTCTTGCTAGCTCTTATATCTTAAATTAACCCATTTCTATTATTTTGTATTATACCACAAGGCTCGTGGTTTGTTACCTCTTACTTCTGGAACAGCTATGTGGCACCTCCCTGACTCCGCCACCTCTTACTTCTTGGACAGCTACATGGCATCTCCCTGACTCTGCCTACTCTTTCTATATCTCTTCCAGCCTGGCTATATTCTGCCCTGCTATAGGCCAAAGCAGTTTCATTCAGTAACCAATAAAAGTAACACAAACAGAGGAAGACATTCCACATCAGAAATAGTAAGGTATCATGTAACCCAAGCTGGCCTTGAATTTGTATGTAGCCATCACTGCCCTAGAACTTTTTATATTCCTGTCCCCACCTCCCAAGTGTTAGGATTACAGGTGTGCACTATTATGTCAAGCTTTAAAAAACATCTTTTATACAAGTAAATGGGTTTTTTAAAATTGGTATACTGTACTTCACATGGTATGTGTAAAATTGCCTCAGTCTAAGATAATTTACTACTAAACTGCAATCCAATGAAATATCTCAAATAAATTAATAGTCCTGGGGATGGAGAGATGGCTCAGTAGTTAAGGGGGCTTGTTGCTTGCTCAATCATGAGTTTTGATTCTATCATTTACAAAAACCTGTAACTCTAGTTCTTGGAAATCACACATTCTCTACTGGCCCCCATGGGCACTCACGCACACATGGGCATGAACACGAACATCTTTTTTTAAAAAAAGTACCTATAAAGTAAGACTCAATTACTGTATATATGAAGATGTTTGGCAATGTTAACTACAATGAGTGGAAAAACAGGAGAAGGTGATTCGGAAGGGAAATTCTAGTTAAGGAAATAGGAGCTAATATTAAATGCTCATCAGTTAGCACATAATTTAACCAAATCATGATGCAATTAAGTAGGAATAGAAACTTATTTATGAGAAATATTTGTTACTTAAAAGGCCGAGTCAAAAGAATCTCTGGAGCTAAGGAATGCTTTGTTTTGTTTTGTTTTATTTTGTTTTGTTTTGGTGTTTTGTTTTGTTTTTCAAGACAGGGTTTCTATGTAGCTTTTTGGAGCCTGTCCTGGAAACTAGCTGTTGTAGACCAGGCTGGTCTTGAACTCACAGAGATCCGCCTGCCTCTGCCTCCCTCCTGAGTGCTGGGATTAAAGGCGTGCATCACCACCGCCTGGCTTGGAGCTAAGGAATTTGAGAATAGGTTAGACAAAACAATGAAACGCTACCTCAAAAAGGTAAAAATAAATGCTTTAGAGCTAGGATTTAACTCGATGGCAAAGTACTTGCCCAGCAATGGTGAGTCCCTGGGTTTCACTCATCTTTCAACACAGGCACATGCACACAATGCTGTCAAAGACATTAAAACAAAACTAAAAGCCAAACTGCCAGTCATAGTGGCACACACCTTTAATCCCAGCACCCAGAAGTAGATGCAGACGGATCTCTGAGTTTGAGGTCAGTCTGGTCTACATAGTGAGTTCCAGGTCAGTCAGAAAAAGACCTGGTCTCAAAACAAAAACTACTATTTTAGGTACAGTTAAACACACACACACACACGAACAAATCAACTGCAAACATCTACTATTGAAGTTTCTATCAACTAACTTTTTAAATATTATTTGTTTGTTTGTTTATTTCCTGGAGCAGGCTATCCTGGAATGTACTATACAGGCAAGAATAATCTAAGAATTCAGAGATCCACTTGTCTGCCTCCAGTGGGCTGTAATAAAGGTGCATAACATATCATCTGGCTCAATATTGATTTCTATTAAAACTCTGAGCCATGTTGGGGAATGGGATCACACTTAAGACAAATGTCAACAGAAAACAAAAAACAAAAAAGCAAAAACTTTGTAAGCTATTAATATGACCTCTAAAGTTCATAACACATGTAAAAACAATATTCCATTAATCTGAAACTAACTCAACAAAGGAGCAATTATACTTGTATATGACCTGGTTCTTAAATTATATCTGATTTCATAAAAATAAAAGCCTGGCCCTTTGCCTATTGTACTTAAAATGACTCCTTTGTTTCTCATATTATAAATTATGAGAATTACAAAAGAGTAATTTAGACTAAGAGTATTAAAGTCTTACTTAGAGACTTTTAAATTAAGGGTTTTTTTGGTTTGGTTCTGTTTTTCAAGACAGGGACTATGTAGACCATGCCAGCCTCTGCCTCCTGAGTGATAGAACTAAAAGCATGGGCTACTAAGCCTTGCCCCTTTTAAAATTTTGTTTTTATTTTGTTTTTATTTTGGTTGTTGTTAAAGCTAATGCTTAGTCAGGAATTGTGGGCACACCTGGAATACATAGGAAGATCATGAATTCAAGGCCAGCCTAGGCTATACAGTAATAGTATCTCAAAACAAACAAAAAACTCAATGGCCATTTGAGAGCAGAGACATGTGGCTATAGTAGTCCCAACAAGGTTCGGGTCTAATACTTTCCAAAGAGTGATGAAATTTTGCTCAAAAGTTACGCATTTATTGCAAACTCTTACTAATCAAATATAAAGGGCTAGAAAAAAATCAAACATATACAGTTCTATATATAGTGGGGATGCCATTAGTGACTAGGCAGGTAACTAAAGAATAAAGGACTGAACCGGGCAGTGGTGGCACACACCTTTAATCCCAGCACTTAGGAGGCAGAGGCAGGCAGGCAGACCTCTCTGAGTTCCAGGCCAGACTGGTCTATAGAGCAAATTAGTTCTGGGACAGCCAAGGCTACACTAAAATAAAACAAAACAAAACAAAACCCTGTCTCAAAACAACAACAACAACAAAGAACAACAACAACAACAAAACAAAAGAATGAAGGATTAGAACTTTTTAAAATGATGTATTTACTTTTATTTTATGTGCATTGGTGTTTTGTCTGCATGCATGTCTGTGTGAGTGTCAGATCCCCTGGAACTGAAATTACAGTTTTGAGCTACCATGTGGATGCTGGGAATTGAACCTAGGTCCTCTGGAAGAAAAAGATACCTGCTTTTTAACTGCTGTGTAGCTTAGGAAAAAACAGTCATGCTCTAGTTTCCTGAGACAGAGAATAATAATAATAATACCACCAAACTATAATGGTCTTTAAAAAGAACAAAAAAACCAAAATGACTTCAAACTGAAGATTGCTTCTGTCTCCACTTCCTAAGTGCTAGGACTATATGCATGTGTCACCAAGTCTGGTTTATCCAGTGTTGTGGCTAAAACCCAGAACTTCTTGAATGTTAGGCAAAACTTCTACCAACTGAGCAAAATCCTAAGCCAACAAAATTCTTGTTGTTGTATAGCTGGTGGCTGTGGAGTACATAAATCCCAATCTCAGGCCAATTATGATCAAGCAGTTGCACAGTGTACTCTGTCACCTGCCCACCTTTAACCCACATACTCATCTGAGGACTAAAAATAAGAATTAAAGAGACAAGATGAAAACAAACAAACAAACAGACAGACAAGATGTCATGCTCTAGAGAATTTAAGGTATAGTAAACACAAAAATTTCCACATATTTTTCAGAGGCTTTCAACCTTAAATGTTTTTCAAAACTTGACCGAACTTTGATAAAAATGCAACTAGTTAATTTAGGCAAAGAGTAACTTCTACAATAAATAATAAATTCATACTCTGTGTGTGGTCTGACTGCAGAGACACTTGCTGAACTGGTACTGGGCTCCTCAGCAATTCCTCCACCATCCAAAAACATAGTGACCGCCATCTCCAGGTTGTTGTTACAAGCTTCAAGCATATGTTTTCCTACACTTTCACTTGCACCTGAAAAAGCAAATGAACAGAAAAAAGTTAAAAATGACATCTTATATTCCAGCTTATGTTAAAACATGGAATCGTCAAAAAGATTAACAGTCTTCTCCCCCTTTTAAATGACTTGTACAAAAACACATTTATTCACTTCTATCCTGTTGGCTGGCTGGAATAAATACCAGAGCTAGAAAACAACATAACAGCACCACAGCAGTAAGACAAGAGTACAAACAAGAACAAGTACATGTGTAGTTTTGTTTAAGACAGGTCTCATACTGTAGCTCAACTCAGAAACCCTCTGCCTCAGCCTCAAATACTAGTCTTACAAGAATAGCCACTACTACATTTGGCTGTCTATTTGTCATTTGTTTGTATATTATGTGTGTGCATATGCATGTATGTGCATGTGGGTGTACCACGGCACATGCACGGTGGTCAAAGGACAATATCTGGTACTGTTCCTTGCTTCTGTCTTGTCAGAGAAAGAGTCTCTTACCTGTCACTACATATGTAGGCTAGCTATCTAACAAGCTTTCAGGAGATTCTCTAGCCTCTCATCTCAATGTAGGAATACTGGGGTTACAGATGTGTGCTACGGTAACTGGCTTTACATAGGGCTTGGGGATTTGAATTCAAATCCTCATGCTTGCATCTCCTCAGCTCTATTTGCAATTTCTTTAAATGGCTGAATTAACTAATGTAGTGGTACATACAAGCACTGGGACTCAGAGATATCTGTGAGTTTAAGACCAGCCTGGGACTATACTGTAAAACCCTGTTTCAAAAAACAAAACCAAAAACAAACAGACAAAGAAAAAAAAAATCAAGTATGTTATTTGTTAGTAATAAAATGGAATAAAGAAAAATTAAAGACTATATTCTAGAAAGTTAGAAATATTGTTAGAAAGAATGCAACTAAACATTTTCTCATCTACTCGGAAAGTTTTTGAGGAGGGGCTGGGCTATGGCTCAAACTCAGAACACTTTTAACACTTTGGGGGGGGGGGGGGGGAGACAGGGTTTCTCTGCTGCTTTGGAGCCTGTCCTGGAACTCACTCTGTAGACAAGGTTGACCTTGAACTCACAGAGATCCACCTCCCTCTGCCTCCTAAATGCTGGGATTAAAGGCAAGTGTCACCAGGGCCTGGCCCCAGAACACATTTTTAATGTCAAACCAAGAGAAGCAAACAGAGACCATTTTTGTCAAGATATAAATATCTGGTAAGAAACGTCAAGCTTCGCTATTTAAAACTGGTCCAAACAATCATTTGTAAATAAAGCCAGCACAATCTGTTGAATAAATGTAAATTGGTAAAGTCCTCTTAAAAATAATTTTACATGTACTAAGAAATTCCTTTTTTTGACTCAATTGTACAGACTTTATGTTGAATCAAATCAACATAAAATATTACATGCAACACATGTCCAGAAATATGTCCAGAGTAGATTCAGTTAATGAAGCAAATTTTGAAACATAAAGCATTCTATACTAGTACAATGTGAACCATAATATGTATTTAATTTAAATATCATGTGGCCACTGCAAATCACCTTGAACTTTCTATTTGAGATGAGTTTTCTTTATCTGAATTATATCCCTTGAAATCGTGTTCTGTTGGTAGCAAATGCACTAAGATTTTTGTCTCGAAATGTCTATTGTGAAAGCATTTTACTGAGTATGCCATTTCAGGCTGACAGCTGTTTTGTCTCAGTAAACAAGGCAGAATTCCAATGTCCTCTGCTTTCTGTTGCTATAGCTGGGAAATCAGTTGTCAGCTTAATGAAAATTATTTTTATAGCAGTCTGTTGGTTCTAGAACTTTTAAGGTTTCTGTCACTGGCCTGCAGTTTCCACTGTGACTTGTCAAAGCTAATCTTATTTATTCTTTGGGATTAACTGGATTTCTTTCTCTTTTTTCTTTTCTTTTCTTTCTTTCTTTCTTTCTTTCTTTTTTTCTTTCTTTCTTTCTTTCTTTTTAAAACAGGGTTTCTGTGTGTTGCCCTGCTTGTCTTGGAACTCCTTTTGTATACCAGACTGGCCTCACACTCACAGAAATCTGCCTGCTTCTGCCTCCTGAGTGCTGAGATTAAAGGCATGTGTCACCATGGCCCCGAATCAATCTTTTTTTAAATGCTGTCTCTTTAAATCTTCATGCTGCTTCCTCAGCAGTATCTTATTGTTTGTTCCTTCTCAGATAGAGTTTGGCTCTGTAACCCAGGCTAGCCTCCTCCTTCCTCAGTCTCCCAGTACTGGAATTACAAGTGCATGGCAGCTCATTTTGATATCTTCACTGCTATCTTCTAGTTCACATATTTTCTCTTTAGGTATATTAACTGATTAAACATCATTTAATCCTTTATAAGTAGTTCTATTTTTTCCAAGTTCTTCATCTGATTATATTTTAAGAAAGTCTAAACTCACATTCCTACTTCAACCTTTAATTTCAATTATCTCTATTAATATGAAACATATAATACTACACTATAAACTTTCTGCAATCTCTAGGGATCACTATCTTATTTTTTCCTTGATCTCACTCATTATCCAATTTTTCTGTGTTATTTTTAAATTTTAATCTTTTCATTATGTATATATTTTTGGAAGATATTTGTTTGCTCTGACACTCTGAGACTGTCAATAAAGTTAAACTTGAACCAAGAGACACAGTTAGGGGGCTGGAGAGACGGCTCAGTGGTTAAGAGCACTGCCTGCTCTTCCAAAGGTCCTGAGTTCAATTCCCAGCAACCACATGGTGGCTCACAACCATCTGTAATGAGGTCTGGTGCTCTCTTCTGGCCTACAGACATACACACAGACAGAATATTGTATACATAATAAATAAATAAATATTTTTATAAAAAAAAAAAAAAAGAGAGACACAGTTAGTGATTAGCTGAGCAGAATTAACCATAGAGGTTTTGGAAGACCCAAGATACAAATAGAGAGAGATACAGAAAGTAGTAATGAGGGGCTTGGAAAGATTTGTGGGGCCCTTTTGAATCAGAGAAGGGGAGAGAGGTGGTCACAGGTCAAATCTCTGATCAATATCTGACTACCGAATTTTATTTAAAAATAGAAAATAAGCAAACACTTCAATGTGTGTGTATGAGGAGGTGGGTTATGTGCACATTAATCCAGAGAGGGTATCAGCAGATTCCTTCCAGTTGGTAGTGTTGAGTCAATGCATGTGCTTAAATCCTCTGCAAGAACAGTTTGTGTTATTAACTGCTGAGCCACCTCTCTAGCTTTGTAATTTTTATTCTTTTCATTACTTATCTGAATGTGTATATCTGCAGTTGCACACATCTAAAAGCACAGAGGCCACTGCCATTATGTAGTGTCTTCCAACTTCCTAAAGCTGGAGTCCAAGGCATTTGCAGGGAGCCCAGATTGTTATATGGTGGTGAGACTAAAACTCTGGTCCTTACGACCGCACAGCAAGAGCTTTTAATCACTGAGCCATATCTCTCCAACCCCCAGGCTCTGTTCTTTCGAAACGGAGTCTCACACTGTCCTTCTAGTTTGACATTCCAAGTGCTGAGATTAGGGACCAGAAAGCTGGCTCAGTGGGTGCACATATTTGCCATCAAGTACTGAAATTATGGCATGCACCCCCTTGTCTAGGGCTCATCTGTGATTTGTTTACTATCATCTAGTACAGCATACCCTGGAACTTTTACCTGAAGACTGTTTGGAGCCTGGCATTGAAGAACATTCTCCTAAAAGCTTGATGAATTTTGCAACGTCACAGCAGATATAACCAAATAAGAGCTGATAGCTGAAGCCGGGCAGTGGTGGCGCACGCCTTTAATCCCAGCACTTGGTAAGCAGAGGCAGGAGAATCTCCATGAGTTTGAGGCCAGCCCGGTCTACAAAGTGAGTTCCAAGACAATCTTCAAAGCTACAGAAAAACCCTGTCTAGAAAAACCAAAGATCTGATAGTTGGCTAGAAAGTTTTCCAAGACTACATGGAAAATATAACTGTAACAGGCTTTGTTAGACATCCTTCTCCATACATAAGACCCCTTGCCAAGATTGAAAGCAAAATGTTAACTTTCCTGAATAAAGAGAAGTTCTTTTGGAGTCCTTCAAACACTGGACTTTGTTTCTTGAGCTCCATTATGCTATAAAAATAAGTTTAACAAAACAAGCAAACAAAAAACAATTTGAGCATATTCCACAGGATGAAAGATGTTTAGGAAAGCTAGCTAACACCTGTGCCAGACACTGGTGGTGCACACCTTTATAATTCCAGCACTCGAAGGCAAAGACAGGTGGATCTCTGTGAGCTAGAGGCCAGTCTGGTCTATAGAGCAAGTTCCAAGACAGCTAAGACTACATAAAGAAACCTTGTCTCGAAAAACAAAAGCAACAAAAAGCTAGCTAACATCTGCATTCCCAATGTAATTTCATTTTTAGCTTTTTGACAGCACAGTGATGGATCAAATAAGATTTTAAAAAGAACTTTTATTCTATACGTATGTATGAATGTTTTGATTGCATATATGTATATGCACCATATGTATGCCTTGTGCACAAAAAAGTCAGAAGGCTTTAATCATCCTCTAAAACTGGAGTTAGTAGTAAGTCAACATGTAGATGCTGGGAACAACTCCAGGTATTCTGGAAGTACAGTTAAATGTTCTTAATTGATATGCCATCGATCCAGTTTCAATTTCACACATTTTATTCAGCATTTTTTCCTATGAAGAGGAATTTTTCATACATTCTACATTAGTCAAATGATAAAAAAATGGAAGTACTACCTCTACTTCTAATACTCTCATTCTCTACTATTACCACTACTACTACAACTACTACTGCTATAATTACCACACCAATTACTACACCATATACCCCACTCCCCACATTTTTTAAACAGTCTCTCATTATTGTAGCCTTGGATAGCTTGAAACTCACAGTGTAGGTCAAGTTGACCACATAGTCAGAGATCCCTGTCTTGGTCTCTGATATTAAAGGTGTGTACAATACTTAGTTTTTATGTGTGCACC